GGTGACCATTTTGAAAACAGTGGTATGATAAGTATTGGGCCAACAGTATTTGAGTTATTGCCTGGACAGACATATGTACTGATGGATGGACAGAGCCATTCTCTATATCCCCCTGAATTTCGTTGGATGGGAAAAAATGGTATCTCAAGTCCTTACTTGTTGAGTATACAGGAGTTCTTTTTGCTACTTGTAGGTCAAGGTTGTTCAAACAAAATGAAAGTGCAGAATATATCGATGTCTGACTGACATCACATATGATAAGAAACAAAAACACTGAACTATCATTTGGGTATAGCCATCTATTATAAACTAGAAAGTCATTGGCCTTTAAATGTTTTCAATTAGATTTGATATATTGTTGACTCAAGAAATATAATAAGGCTCGTTTAGAAGTTAATTTACAAATCTGGTCATTACAATTTGTTTTTTAGTGTAAAATTGTCTTAAATCATCCTTCAGTCAATATAAAAGACAACTGTTAGTATTAACTCCTCTATATTTCATGTTTTAGTATTATCAATTGATAATAATGGGGTAATTTAGAGACTATATTAATTTACTATTGTCATATCAATCAGTTTTTTGCCTTTAATGCATGAAAAAATATCATGTCTGGTTATCCCCTTTCACTTGGTCTGCCTCTTGAATTTCAAGGCAATCTATAAGCTATCTTTATTTCCCTCAGAATATACCCCATATCCAAAACCTCCCATAACATAACCTTCATGTATCTACATTTTAGGCATTTCTGTACAATTGAGAATATGAACTTTACGAGGGTTGTCCCAGAAGTAATGCACTATATGGTCTAACTTTCTTTAATATTCTTCAATTCAGCTGAAATTTTGTGTATATAACAATTGAAGTTATATCTATTATATCCTGAAGTTTCAGCATCCAACATTAATATTTAGTCTTAATATGGTTGCTATAACAACATGGGGGTAGGGGTGGGCGGGGCAGGTACCAATTTTTCTAATTATAAAAAGATCTAAATTGTTATTTTATCAATATTTCTTTCCTTTAAATGGTCAAAATGTTTGGGAAATTGTTAAATTTATTCAGTATGATGTTAACCAAGTACGAATAATGACATTTAGCACTGTGATGGCATAATACCACATTTCAATAGTCACGAATTCAAGTACAGTCACAGTCAAGAAATTGCAAAAATGGCAGCAATTCTCACCTGATAACAGAAGGCCTTGCATTTGGTGGCCTAATTTCACACTTCACTTGGACTCACAGCCAAGCATAACAATGCTACCATGAAGAAAGTATATAGGAGTATGTACCAGATAGAACTATAATTATGGGGTGGCAGAAGAGATTTAAAAGAGACGATTTGACCCTGTATGACAACTCCAAACATGGGAGGCAAAAACTCCACAAGTCACGGTGGAAGAAATTTCCGAGAGTGTTTGACCTGACAGGCATCAAAAGTACATAACATGCAAAGAGCAATATTTTGAGAAAATGTGAAATGGGACACTGTGCAATATACATCCATCAAATCTAGGATGTGCTCATGATAATTTAGTATCTTAAAATGTATTTTTGAGCATACATTTTATAGCTACACTAAATGGTATATGCTGATTAATTATTTCATATTTTCAATTTTTCATTCCTTTTGACGTGACTGTATAACCTGCCCCGCCCTACCCAAACTCACCAACTTGATCTTATTATAACATCAATATAGTTTTACCAGTCAACATGAAATTTTTTAGAATAATCAAAATGTCTCTCAGGAACATTTACTGAAAATTTCATGGGAAAATATCAATTATTGATAAAGTTAGAGCATATAGTGCATTACTTCTGGGACAACCCTCGTATATCTGGTTTGTTTATTTTTTCTTCATGCTTTCTCCTTTTTGCATTTCAAAATCCAAAATCCATCACCATTTTCTCAAGGGTAAATCAAAAAAATATGTGTGTGCTCAATGTCATGTTATTTCAAAACATTAAAGCTATAAATATTTCCATACTTTCTTTAAAGTCTCTTGATTGGGAAGGCAAATTATTCCAAGGATGACCCAAACAAATGAGATCAGATTTACAAGTGCCTTGACACGCAATTTCACAAGTTAAATAAAAGGATTGCGTGATTTCGAATGCAGATTGATCAAATATTCAGATTAAGTAATAGGCATATCAGTAAATTGAATTATAGATCTGGACTATGAAAGCGATATGTTTTATGAAGTTAAAGAATGATATCATCAGACTTTAAAGCCAATAACGAAGAGGATAAATATCAAATTATCAAGTAATGCATATCGCCATGGCTATGTGGTGGTCATATTTAAAATTCAAAATAGTGTTGAAATAACTGAAAGTGGGAAGGAATATTGTAAACAAGGTTGTAGCCAATATTGAGAATAGTACAGAAAAGTCAGAAAGTCAGACACTTTATTCAAATTTAAGAGAAAACTGTGAAAATGAGCATGATTAAAGGCATGTTTTGAGCCAGGGAATATATTCATGTAATTTTTAGTAATCACAAAGAAGGAAGGAAGGATTGAATATATTTGCTATTTGATAATTTCCGGGGATGGAAATACAGGATCATGTGATTCATCATCCTAAAGCATTCCAAAGCTGATAATGTCCGTCTGCTCATTCTTATTCCACATCTTTTCTCTCTAAAATTTGAATGAAGTATCAAATTTTCTTTGATTTCTGTATAATTGAGAGTGCGTTCAAGATGCATGTTAAATCTCTGCAAGCTGAATCAAATATCATTAACTCTTTATTTTAATTTAAAAACGTGACTACGATGCAATTTTATACATGAGTTAGAACCTGGGGGTTCTTTCACACTTCCTGTTTGTCTTTATTATTTATTCTCATTTTTGGCTGTCCTGATACATGTGAAAAAATGGTACAGAAAAATAATCTAATTCCAAACCACTAAAAATCCTCTGAAAAATAATTTAAACCCTTTTAATATTAACGAAAAGTGTCACACATTTTGACATTTTTCATCAACGTTTTCAGAGAAGATAATTGAAAAAGCATCAAGAAACCTATCAATCAAGCGATAATCTAAGAATCCATTCATGAAAATGACATTGAAATATAGACTTTTTATCTTCAAGACTTGATATCGTCGAAGTTAAGACAGGATGTGTTAGAGATGTGAAAGGAACGGGATGACAATTAGACTGGTTGTATTGGCCAATTGATAAAAATTACCATGACAATGAATGTACATCAGATCTACAATGGCAAAATGTTGAGTTCTAATCTATCACACAATGAAATAATGGCATCTGGTTTTGCATATTTTCCATCATTTTCTCAAAAGTTTGTAAGGCATGTGCGATTTTTGAGCTTTTTGATATTATTTAAAATATTTACCTCATGTTGATACGATTTATTTCAATGTAAGTCGCCTCAATTCTTCTCATTTTGCATGCAATGATTCGTGACATTCTACATTCTATTGTATAATAATTGGTTAACAAAAATCTGACATATTAGCAGATTATGTCACAAATAAACACAATTACCTATTAATTTGTATTGTTATCAGTTGCTTCTGCCATGATAATTAATCAACGAAGAAATAAACTGACATCTCGTTCTATCATCATCCTTTACCCCCTACACAAGAAATTCTAAAACGGAACTCATCTAGAAAAATCAGATCACTTGACATCAGTTTACCAACCTACATGCTAAAGAAGCATGTCAATTATCCAGAAAATGTATGACGATTTAAAATAGGCCATGTTCAACAAGTGTTTGTCCTCGTAATAAACATCAATGCCTCAAAATTGACATTTAGACAAAAAACAATGGTATCTAACAATAAAAACATTATAAGTATAGTATAAATTACAGCAATCTTTAGAATATTTTCTGTGAAATATATCTTGCTTTTAATACATCCTCTTGTGTCATATGATTCCCTTTTATTGGTGATAAACTTCTCTGTATATCATTAGATGTACAGATGTACATTTTATATCCCAGAATATGATATCTACCTATGGTATCATAAAACCAATAATTAGAAAGCTGTAATAAATATTATGTCACCCCCTTAATGGCAACATAAAACAGGTAAAATTGCGAAAACCCCTTATAACTATTGTAAAACAAAGTAAACTTAATGTGATACTGTAAAAATACAGGAAATGGCAATGTAGTACCATAAAATGCAGGAAACTAATATGTCACAAAGTTTGTGATAACATAAAAACCCCATTGCCTCATCTCACTCTAATTTTGAGATAAAACAATAAAACAATCACAATTGATTGTTTTAAGAAACAGAAATTTGTGTATGACTCTGTTTTGACATGTGTCCAATGGTGTATATACGAATGTATGCGTCATAAAATCAGGCGAGTGTGACATTGAATATTTTAGGGACAAATTAAACAAAAGTTATACAGGGAAAGTAGATGAGGTGAAACTTATTAAGCCAAAGGATATTCAGGAGGACACAATTTTGACAATCTCTGAGGCAAAAAATTCTAAAAATATTTTTCTGTAAAATGTTGGCAAGACCAGATTGTGACAATTGCAAAACCTACAATCTCGCATCCATTCACCTCTACAGATTAGAGCTCATTCTAAACATGTATATTTCAGTTTTACAGATTTGTAACAAATTATATGTACATGTACAGTATATATTACAATACAACATTCATTTTGTGTACTCTATAAATGGTGATATTCTATGTATTGTGTGTTTATTGAAAAGGGCCACGAGTGTATCTGTGTGTAAATTGTGTCATTTAGAGTCTGTATGAAATATGTATTTTTGGGGCATATTAAGGATGCTAACTCTATTAGCACAACAATAATCCTATGTAATCAAGAAATTAATCCTAGGTGAAAAATATTCTCACGAGACACTAAGTATAAGTTATTCAACTTAATAATGTTTGCCAATTTCAAGTAATTTTTGGATCAGGCTTTGAAAAATCACCTAAATATGCCCTACAGTGTGAGTGCGAATGTCGTAATCTACCTACCTCTAATAAATGTGCTGTCACGGGTTTCCATAGAACATCGACACGAAATAAATTCACCAGTCCAGTCTCAAGCAACTTTGCAACAGCAAATAATGAAGGTTCCTGTAAAAAAGTCATTTCTGATTCTGAAGAAGGATTCAATGCAAATGTGTGTGATTTTTGTGTCTGATTTCATTTGTATAAGTACAAATAATAATTTTTGCAATCTTTTCCTAATTGCATTTCTTAATTGTCTGAATAAGGAAAATCTTGAAAAATTGGAGACTCTACTTAAGGTTGTTATTTGAGATTCCATTAATTGCAATTTGGACACACTCTCGTCTTAAATATTATGGCTCACCCTGTTAGAATAAGCCATTTCCATACACTCTGTTGATAACTTGCAGAGAGCATCTATCAAATGATGGAGTGCTACGTCATCTAAATACCTAAAAAATATATAGGCATAATTATCACTCATCTAGTAATCAAAGGGTTCAATTCCTTTCATCATGAAGAACAAGGCACAGGACGTGAATGAGATCACACCATCAAATAGGCAGACACTATGAACCAGGGAAACTGTTCTCCTATTATGTTTACAAATTTCAAGAACAAGAAAACAAGATGGCCGCCCAAAAGTTAATCAGCTCTAGTACTTGATATCCTCTATCATTTGTGTAAAGGAGCACGTAGGTTATCGCAAACAATTTCAAACGATTCTAACTTGAATTATGATTATTTTTTGATCATGAACATGGGTGTATCTTTTAGATCCATTCATTATCTTCAAGAAAAGTATATATAATGATAATTTAGTTAATCAGACCTAAGTGATATTGAAGGGGCAATGGACCAATCAACATACCTTTTCCAAAATGTTGACCTAATTTTCACCAAAAATGCAACCTATTATTATATTGTTGAATGCATAATTAGAATGTGCTTTGAGACATGTTCGATTTCCTAAAAGGAAAATTTGATTGCTCCAGGGACTTTAAAGATATTCAATTTGGATGACCAAAATGAACTGAAACCAATGGATAGCATGAGATTTTTCAATGGAGAAATAACATGGGGAACACTTATCTTAATGCAATTAAGTTTTTCTTTCAAGAACTATTTGATACATCAAAATAAAGAATAGTAATGCATTAAACATTGTAAAAAATGATTGCATTTTTGGTGAAAATGGGGTCAAAAAGTGTGTTGATGGATTAATTGCTAGTTAAATATCTCCGAGTTTGTTTGAATTTATTATTACTGTGCATAATTTTCTTTGAGATAATGAATTGATCTAAAAGATAAACTTGTCTTCATTGTCAGAAAATAGTCATAATCCAAGATATAACCTTCTGAAATTGTTTGCGATAACCCTCATGCTCCTTTGAAGGAAATCCGATGAGCGGTTTTCCTGAAATGGCGATGACAAGATTTTTCGAAAAACCTTCAAAATGGCCACCAGAAAACAAGATGGCCGCCCAAAAGTTAATCAGCTCTAGTACTTGATATCCTCTATCATGTGTGTAAATTTGAAGGAAATCCGATGAGCGGATTTTCTGAAATGGCGATGACAAGATTTTTCTAAAAATCTTCAAACTGGCTGCCAGAAAACAAGATGGCCAGCCAAAAGTTAATCAGCTCTAGTACTTGATATCCTCTATCATTTGTGTAAATTTGAAGGAAATCCAATGAGCGGTTTTCCTGAAATGGCGATGACAAGATTTTTCGAAAAACCTTCAAAATGGCCACCAGAAAACAAGATGGCCGCCCAAAAGTTCATCAGCTCTAGTACTTGATATCCTCTATCATGTGTGTAAATTTGAAGGAAATCCGATGAGCGGATTTTCTGAAATGGCGATGACAAGATTTTTCTAAAAATCTTCAAAATGGCTGCCAGAAAACAAGATGGCCGCCCAAAAGTTAATCAGCTCTAGTACTTGATATCCTCTATCATTTGTGTAAATTTGAAGGAAATCCAATGAGCGGTTTTCCTGAAATGGCGATGACAAGATTTTTCGAAAAACCTTCAAAATGGCCGCCAGAAAACAAGATGGCCACCCAAAAGTTAATCAGCTCTAGTACTTCATATGCTCTATCATCTCTGCGAATTTGGAGAAAATCTGATGAGCAGTTTTCCTTAAACGGCGATGACAAAAAGCGGGACGATCACGATCACGACCATGATCACGATCACGATCACGACCACGATCACGACCAGTATGACGACTATGTCCCACCGATGGTATGATAAAAAGTGATCGTCAAACTCTGCTTGAAATATACACAAATATAAAGTGAATTTTTGATAGGGGAATTTATAATTAATACAAACTAATTTATAACAAAATTAATCATATTTCACAAAACATATACCATTGTATATTGAGCTAAAGGCTTTATGCACATAGCTTTCAAATCATTTGGTTGAAAACTTACTGTGAACTCTCAAATAATCTTGACAACATAGATGACAGCACTGGTAGATCGGCCATGACAGCAGTTGTTATGACAGCATTAGAGCCATCAGAGGGCTGCCCCCCTGCTTTCAAGCTGCCCCCTGTTGAAGGCTTCAGTCCCAGAATCCACGTCAAGTGCTGGAATATATCTGATTTTTGGACTTTGGACATGAACAAGGGGAAGTAAAGGGAGGTTAAACCATAATGTTATTGACTGAATTTTTCTGCAACTGTTAACATTCAGAGACTCTGCCATCTAAAATGTAGATTGACCATTGAGTAGAACCTGTATAACACAAACATGTAACACAAGATGTAAAACCTTTTTTCAATTGGCTCCTGTGATGTCAAATCTTAGTTATGTGCAGGTTGACGCAGAAAGAAGGTGTTTTCAAAACTTTATCCAATAACAGTTAAAAACAGTCATGGTATTTTTAATCTTAAAAGAACATTAAATAGATTTTTATAAGAATTCTGTACAACAGCAAATATAAAAAAAAACAGCAACTCCTCTAAGTAGTAAATCCCACCAAACAAAATATATTTTATCAAACCACTAATAATTTTGAACATATAGAAATCACCAGGCAATAGTGCAGTTGTATTTTCTTATTTTAACCCTAACCCTAGCTTTTATTTTGATGAAATCTACACCCATGATGTGACATGGCCCATTTTATGAATTCGTTTTTGAGTTGAAGTCCTATAATTAGGCATTATCCTACAAAATTTGGACCAAATCTGATAACTGAAATTTTTCTGAAACTAAGGTTTAACTGAATGTTGATTTCAGCAGCCATCTTAGAAATTAAGCAGAGGCATAAACATATAAAATATGAAAAAATCTGTCAACTGGTGTTTGAGTTATCAGAAATTACATTTTGCGAGATGACGCAGGCATTTTGAATTCACAGGTCATTTTGAAAATTCCTTCTTCAGAACTAAGTCCTATGCCTCCAAGGCATCAGCATATAGAATCTAAACCAAGTCCGTCAACTTATATTTGAGTTATCTAAGATTAAGTGGCTATATTGAAATTTCGTTTTTAAGCGAGTCGAAGTCCTATGCCCATTATGAGCCTATAAAATGTGAACCAAATCCTTTGACTGGTATTTGAATTGACACCAGGACAGATGAATGAACAGACAGACAGACACCTTTTCTATATCTCTACCAAACTTTGTTTGGTGGGATAATAATTTTCAGTAAAGCTGATGGAAAACAGCAAGCATGGCGGTCAATAAACTGGATGAGCATTATATAGTGTCACATACATTTTGGGGAACTTCTAATTTTTTATGTGAATTACATATAAAGTACATGTACACGTACGCTAATCCTTTTTTAATAAATCCTTAGAATCATCTAGGAGTGACCCACTTAGCAAAGCATGGTGATTTTTCAGAGGACCCAATCAGTAAATACAGAGCACACATCAAGGATATAAAAGCAGATTCAGGTTTTGTGGGCATACATTTTTAATTAAATTTTGGGGAATATCAAGTCTCTTTATTCCTATAAGCTAGTCATACTGAAAAAATCTAGGAACTCTTAGTCATTTGGCTGTTTGAAGTTGGGAATGTTTATTGGCATTGTTGCTTATGTGCTATGATTTAATTCGTGACTGGGAATGTGATGGAATATGGTAAATATGGAGTTTTTCAGGATTTATTAATTTGTGCATTTCTCCTCTATGAAAATAAAGTGCACAAAAGGGGAATAGAAAACACAAACTTCTTCATCCTTTGTCCCTTTTTTGGATGACTTTGTTGGCTTTTGCTTTTTCTTTTTCTTTTTGGACTTGCCAGATGATGTGGTGTCTGGTGCTGAATATTCTTGCACAAGCTCACCATGCAATGTAGCTCTTAGGCCCAAGATATGAACTAAATGCTGAAAGTTTTGAGGTGACAATGTTTCGAGTCTTCAGTTGGATACTGAGCTTTGAGCCTATCAATTAAAGGTTTTGATTAAATGTTAAAGTTCTGAGGTGAATATCAAAATGTTTGAGTTGAATGTCTCAAGTATTGACATTGACATTGAGAATTGAGGTACGTGCTAAAATATTGAAGTAAAATGTTAAAATTGTGATGAGAGTGTTCACATTTTGTATCTTTAAACATGATGATGACTTTTTGTCTCGTTCAAAATATGTGATTCTGAAATAATCATCACAAATCTTGTTTCGAGAATTCCTGTTCGGTTGGTAGATGGTCTATTTTACCTGTAGTGTTGTGAGGACTAGATGCCACGCAGAGCCAAGGATTCCTCCGTGACAATGTGTCACACTTAATATTGCACGCATACACTGAATATTCTTCGCTGTCAACTGAAATGTATCACAGAGTGAGGTTTTCAAACTTTACTTGTATTTATGTGATAAATATAAAATATAATAAATATAATAAAAAAAAAGATACATAGTTGAATAATATCCCCAATATCAATTTTTAAACAGAACCGTATTGCTTTATTTCATAAATGAGTCAATGAATTATGTATTATGTTAACTTCTGTATTATATGGTAAGAAAAATGTCACAATTTTCATATAAATCCTCATTCTATGTCCATGTTTTAAAAAACTTAAACTAAGTTGAATTTAAATGAAAAGGATAAATAGAAATGCAGACCATAAATAGTAAAGGATAAAGGAAAATTATTCTGTTCTTTCAAATTTTAGAAAAATATAAGCCGACAGCTTCCATTTTGTTTCCAGTATACCCACCATGACAGGCCCAGATTGAGCACCAATAGGAAGAGAGGCTGTAGGTAAAGCAGTTCCCACAGCAACCACCTGACTACCATGCATGGTTTCTGCGCTAACTGGTGGTTGGACATCCTGGCTTGGGGACCGTGTATGACCTGGAAGATATTGCAAATAAATAATTGTTGAGACGTTACAGTAAAACCTGTCTTATTGAACACCTCTCTTTTAAAAACCTCTCAATGAAGAACACTTTTAAAAGGACCAAGTAATGAATTCAATATTATGTTAACATTGTTTGAAGAAGCTCCTTTGATGTCATAAGCTCCTTTGATGTCATTATATGTGTGTTGTCCATAGTTCAAATATTCTTTAATCCAAAGATAATTTTTTCACAGCAGTCACAGATGAAGTTACTGAGGTTCATGTTTCAAAATTATGCAGAGAGAAAACTTTATTTTTTGTCATGAACTATTAAGTCATGTAATATAAGGACAAAATATGAACGTTTTAATGGCACTGTTTGACCATTTTATTTGTGTCAATAAAGTGAAAAATAATACTCAGAATGATTCAAGATGTATTTAATAAATATTTATTTTCCAAAAAAAAACATTACAATTTGGCATCATGTTATAAAGGATGAATTGTCTAGGGGATGAGTTGTCTTGGGGATGAGTTGTCCAGGGGATGATTTGCCTAGGGGATGAGATGTCCAGGGGATGAGTTGTCCAGGGGATGAGATGTCCAGGGGATGAGTTGTCCGTAAGCCAAGTGGAACACCTCTGTAAGTGGAACACATCAAAAGTGGAACTGCCACAAACTGACTCCATGTAAATGAACCTCTGTAAATGGAACACCTCATAAGTGGAACACTTTTTAGAGGTACCAAGGGTGTTCCACTTACTAGGGTTATACTGTATTTACTTTTTCCCAAATATCCCATTTCATATTCCACAAGAAATTTACTACATAAAACTAAGGTAAGGACTGAACACTCCATGAGTCATTACATATTGCTAGATTTACATATACTGCACGTTCTACAATATTTGTTTTTAAACTTACCCATTGGGAAAGGAAACAATAATTCATTTAGATAATAATCTGAATATTTGTTGTATAAAAAAACTTGATATAAAAAGTACGATGATTCACTCATAAAATTATCTGAAAATATATTTTATTTTTATTTTCTGTGTAATAAATGATATAAGCAAAATATGTGATGATTTGTGTAGATAGCACTACTTACTATCTGATAACTTATAATATATTCAAACATAATCTATTTTTCTGATAAAGAAACATTCATCAAATTGAAATGTTATGATAATTTAAAGAGATAATTATCTAAAAGCATATTCTATTCACCTGTTGGCATGAAAAACAATCTACTATCTGGAAATGTAGCATCAATTATTTTAAGTACTGACAGAGTGACATTACATGATACATGATTTACATTTCAAGAATGAATCAAGAAAATTACTTCATTAATTTCAATGCTTCACTTAGCTACTAATACGTTACTGAATAACTAATACATGTTACTTGAATAAAATAACATTAGGCATAACCTGCCATTTATTACAGACACCAAGCACCAATCACCGACCACCTTCACAAAAAAGTTGGCGATGATAACAATATGTTTTGGCGGTGACATAAAAATGATGACTGATTCATTATTGTTAATCCGAAGTTAATATTGGTGTAAAGTCTCATTAACATTTGCTCTACAGCGGGCGTACAGTGGCTGTAGATTCATAACATCATTATAAAAAATCTACAACGTACTGCTTATCCCTATAATTTTAATGCTGCAGATTTCTCTTGATTTTGGGAATACACCATATATGGTTGGAGTAGATCACATGTGACTGGGAAATATCTAATGCAATCATTGAAAAATGAATTACAGAATAAATGCATCCTCCTAAGCAGGTATCCAGAATCCATACCTCCTTCTTCCCCCTGATATAACCAATTTGGAAGCGCCCAATTAAACTGAATCACGTGATCTAATTATGCGCAATGACTTATACATGATTTCTGTCGCAGTGTTGCAACAGTCAATTAGATTGCGAGTTCTTAATCGGGGAAATGCTAGCTGCTTATCGCAGGGGGTAAAAAGAAAGAATATATTCTGGATTGTGAAGCCCTGTGATCGGAGGATGGAATAAATGTGGCAAACATACCTTTGGTAGTTGGTCCTGGTGAGTCTACCCTATGTGTATTCAGCACTGTTAGGGTATAATGTGGGGGCAGGGAAGCTTTACAGAGGGATGTAATGAACGCATCACGTGGTGTTGTCATCTCTAATGTACCACATAGACTCGCATATGCTTGCTGAGACTTCAGTATCACTTCCGTTGCGCTCTCATCAGTACTGAAAACAAACCATTAATAAAGGGAAACTAAAGAACTAAAGAGATTCAAACATGAATTTTAAAGTCATTATTTCTATGATCCCCTCTATAATAATGTAATTAATAAATATTAATTGATTTAATAAAAATAAAAACCCTTCTCCTTTTAAAAACCAGTAAAGGCTGACAAAAAGTAATGGACCCTTGACCCTCCCCAAATGCAGTTGATTATACTTGTGGATGTACATGAACATGATATATTGACCTTCCCTAACATTAGGATAGAATTCCAGTAAAGAAATCTTATATGATAACTGCCCCTCTGCTAATTCCCAATATTCTTTTCCAGTTAATTCTAAAATCTTGGACTTGCACAATTTATATGAATGACTTATTCCTGCTTGACTAAAGCTAAAGAATTCACATTGACGTTATGATACCATAATGAGATTAGCTGATCAACATCCAACAATTGGCCACGATCGAAACCATAATTATACTGTAGTCAGAGATTCTGATGAAGCACAATGTGTTTTGAAACATCAGTAAATTCATTAGGTTAAGTCAAGCGATCCTCTTATGAATTTAAAAACATGATGTCCAAATCTGAGGACCTGCCGCTAATTCCATGACCTGTTCATCCTCACCTTGCATCTAACATGAGCGAGAGTGCAGCTAACACTCCACACCAGGATGAGTTGATCAACTCTTCTTGTAGGCCCTGACCTACTGCAATACATATAAATACAAACAAATACAAATAGCTTTAAAATATGAGCGAGTCTAAATGAGTCCGAACACAATAAAGGTAAACAAATACAATTGCTTTAAAATATGGAGGAGTCTTAAGATTTTTAACTCTATCAAGAATGGTCCTCTGTTGAGAGCTACTGCAAGTCAAATTAAAACACAAATTATCATCAGACTTTAACTTGAACTAAAAAAAACAACCCAGAATGTTGAAAAATATTGATTTTAAATCAACACGGAAGAATGGAACTCCTACTTATTTTTATGATCAGATAACACAATGGATTGAATTTCATGAATCAGGAAATTTTGAAAAAATTAACATGTATTACAATTTACCAATTGACCTTTTTCCATACAGATGAAAAATCGATGGCATCATGGGTATTGGTAGGGCCATGGTAGGGCTAGAATACATGTAAATGTATTGCCAAAGTCACTTAATTTATTGATTTAAGAAATAATTCCATTTGGATCAACTTAAAACTCCATTGGAATGTAACTGTATGATCTTATTGACATGTGGATTGTGATTTCACATTAAAAGTGTGATCCTTGTAAGAGTAAATGAACTTTTAAAGGTTTTTCAGCATTGTGTCAATGGGGATTTAGCCCGACCTTTTTTAGACAACTAGAAAATCATTAGAATTAGAATAAAGGTACAGTGCAAATCAAAGTTGTTTTGATAGAAAATTACACACAGAATTCAAATATGACATCAAATAGAAAAAAGTGTTGGTCTTTAATGGTTAAAAATGCAGATCTCCTAAAATCTCATTAAAAAACGAGACTATAGCAAGATTTTAAAGCTATATGGAAAAAGGACCATTGAAACCAGAGGTGAACAAAACATGAGCTAAGGGGATCATTGGGAGAGGTTGGACTAGCGATACTTTTTAAAAATATTGCGTCAATTTCAAAATATTGTTTGCCTAACAGCATACCTGTCATGTCTATTATTCAAGATAACAATTCATTTCTTCTAAATCTGATCAGATATTTCAATTTTTCAGATAATTAAATTACATTACGATTGGAGTGGGAAACATTGGAATGTATATATTTGAAAATATTGGATCGAACATTTTACACACTTTTCTTTGCTGCCACTTTAATATCTTCACTTACATTGCTTTTCTTTAGAACTACTTTCAATGAGTTTCTGCACACTGCTGACAACCTCAAGTAGAGCGCTAAATGCTACAGTGATTGCATAGCCATCAGGTATGTTGGGAGGGTCTACCTTGTCTAGCAGTTCTATGCTGTAAAACAAAGTATTCAATGTTCAGCAAAAAAAATGCATTGTACAAATGATATAACCAGTGATTGCATAGCCATCAGGTAGGAGGGAGGGTCTACCTTGTCTAGCATTTCTATGCTGTAAAACAAAGTATTCAATGGTCAGCAAAAGAAATGCATTGTACAAATGATATAACCAGTGATTGCATAGCCATCAGGTAGGAGGGAGGGTCTACCTTGTCTAGCATTTCTATGCTGTAAAACAAAGTATTCAATGTTCAGCAAAAGAAATGCATTGTACAAATGATATAACCAGTGATTGCATAGCCATCAGGTAGGAGGGAGGGTCTACTTTGTCTAGCATTTCTATGCTGTAAAACAAAGTATTCAATGTTCAGCAAAAGAAATGCATTGTACAAATGATATAACCAGTGATTGCATAGCCATCAGGTGGGAGGGAGGGTCTACCTTGTCTAGCATTTCTATGCTGTAAAACAAAGTATTCAATGTTCAGCAAAAAAAATGCATTGTACAAATGATATAACCAGTGATTGCATAGCCATCAGGTAGGAGGGAGGGTCTATCTTGTCTAGCATTTCTATGCTGTAAAACAAAGTATTCAATGTTCAGCAAAAGAAATGCATTGTACAAATGATATAACCAGTGATTGCATAGCCATCAGGTAGGAGGGAGGGTCTACCTTGTTCGGTTCTTTGCTATTCAGCCAAAGTAATTTACTGTAGAAACAAGTGACGCTGTTGCTATCTGGTTTAGAGAGTCAGGATTATTAAATCATTTATAATGTGCATAATATGTATTTATAACATAATGTCCTACTTACAAGACTGCTTTGAATGTTTGCCTGGGTACATTCATTATGAGTGGAATCCAGACCCCCCTATAAAGGAATGCTGGCTGGGGGGTGACTCCTCCACCCACAGGCATACCTGCCACTATAGCAGGGGGCTGACCAGTGATATCCGGAGTCTTGTTACCTGCAATAAGAACAATTCTTCGTATACAGGACGTGATTATTGAAAAAAAATCTCTGATCATTATTTTGAACACGAAATACAATGGCATTGAGTAGAATCAACTAAAAATAAAGTAAACAGGAATGAAACATACATCCTTTACTATAGAAATGTAAACAAGGCAATAACATGCAAAATGTCACTACCTGCCATTTGTTACAGACACTGAATGCCAGATGCAAACCGCCATAACAAATAATGGAGACCATAACAATATGTTACCAAAACATTTCAGTTAAATGATTAAGATAAAATCATGTGATATTAACAAAAGGAACATACAGAGGGACAGAAAAAAGGCAGATTGACAATGCACATTTAAGTTACCTGAAGATCCACTTGGGGACTGCGGTGGGTTCATAAACAAGGATTGTATCAGAGCACCAACTGCATTGACAATATCACGAAATATTTTTGTAGAGTGTTGCTTCATATCATAGCTCTCACAGAAAGACCTGTGCAGACAAATACACAAATTAGTTGTATGTTTGCCACATGGAAAACACATTAACTTGATTAACATAAATGAAAGGACATATAAATGATATAAATATTGAAAATTATTAATATACAAACTACGTAATCTTATTCAAATTGATTGAATATGTATATGATTTTATTTATATCTTCTAATCTTATTCATTATTCATTATTGGAAATACTTAGGATGGACATCATATGGCATGTACCAGAATTTGTTGTACAGGGTGGTCAAAAAATGGAAACCCTGCATTTTCCTCATATCTTTGTCATTTTAAGGAATTACTCCCTGATATTTCACTCATTTGTAAATCATCCAATTTCCTACCACCCTACCATATTTCATGACCATCGAATTGATAGTCACAATTTTACAGGACTTTGACCAACATGCTTCAGGTTTGGCCATCCTCGCGCTGTAGGCAAACCTGCACAATTGTCAATGACCCAAATTCCTCAGCAGGTATGGCCTGAATGATACAGATGATCTCACTTTTGAGGTCTGCAATTGTCCTGAGGTCATTCTTATACACTCTATCTCTGCCATATCTCCATAGGTTAGGGACATTTTGGCCTACATGTGCAGGTTTCTCTATACTGCACTAGTGGCCACCGGATTCTTTAAAGTGCTATAACACTGTGACTATCAATCTGATGGTCATGAAATATAGTAGGCTGGTAGGAAATTGAATGATGTACAAATGTGTAAAGTTATTTCTTAAAAAGATATAGGAAAACAGTGTAAGGGTTTCCAGTTTTTTTGACCACCCTGTACAAGAATACTCTACCTGACTAAATGTGGCTGTATGACCAATTTCTGTATGACTTCTAGAGCCAGACATCTTTGCCACATCGGTTTCTCACCATCCAAAAACTTCACCAGAAGAGAGAGGAATATCTCACACTCTGTGCTCTAAAATCAACAAAAGTATAATTCAGCCAAAAAATCATCATGTGATCAAAATAGATGATATAATTTTTGAAATCTTTTTACCATTTATCAATACAGGCACTAATGAGGTGCAACAATTACAATAGAACAAGAACCTTATATGAAAACTGATTATCATTGCATTTGAAATTCTAAATGACCACATTCCTATTTACTAGAGGCATCACGGAACAAAAAAATTCGGAAGTTCTAGTCATTTGGAACAAAATCAATTTCACGAGTCTATGAACAATTACTGGATATCTAGCTTGTACAGGAAATAAAAAAATTAGATATCCCATTCGATCTGGGAAGAAAAACAAAAATTAATGATCAATTCACGTTGAGCATCTGTTATTAGGACCCCACATCTTCAGTCAGCGGTAATCCACTCTAGTGTCGCTTTGAAAAACGACAGTTGTGCGTCACATTTTTTTGCAAAAAAAATCTTATTTTCGTTGTATTAGCCGAATTAGAAACAAAATGATCGATCCCTTCCACTCCCTCATTTCTACATTATATCTGCGCATGCTCGCATATTTAATTAGCACAACAAAATAAATAAATGGATCCCGACAACAATTGTCAACTTGTAAGTTTTTCAGCTAATTTCTACATTTTTCGAAATGAATTTTGTAATATGCATAGTGTCGCGTGGTAGAATGATGTTTTAGGATACTGAATGTGTTGTTTTTTTTCGAGGGGGATGCGCAGGAGCTTGAATCTGAAGGAAAGACACCAGGTCGTAACATCCTAAAAGATGAAAATAAAAATGGCTAACATCTGTGAAAACGACAAAGAAATGTTGCTGTTTTCCTCGTGCAAACGTCTCGCTGAGATGACCTTGAGATGAGGCGATACTTCTCTGTCGTGTTAGCATGCTATGCATCTAGGCTCATCTGTGTACATCATTATTTGCGACACTTACAGTTTGAATACCAGGCGACACTTGAGTTGATTACCACTGACTGATCTTTGAAGGCACTCTGTCTTCGATACATTGCTTTTTGGGTATCAGCTCATTTGACATTTTGAGTTTAGCCGCCGCCATGATCAGTGCAGTCTCAGATCATAGCCTACTACTCGACAAAGATAAACACTCAGCATATTTAGTAAAATAAGTTGATCGACTAGGTCTATCTGGTAGCAAAAACCTCTTGAAAACTCTTCAATGAGAAGGAGTGAAAAATGGACTTCTTTCGATGCAAAGAAAAATGCTGTTTTGCAGCGATTTGAGGGCTAAAAACTGTGTAAAGGTACGATTTTCTTGTTCTGGAACCGAACCGAAATGCTAAATAATTGTTCAGTGTTCCGACCCGAGAGCCGTATTTTGCGGATCGGAACAAAATTGGGTATCTGTGACACCTCTACTATTTACCCAGCATGTCCAAATGTCTCCTCTGCCACTCACACATGTCAAAAACAAAATGCAAGGACAATATGCAAAACTGTTGATCAGCTCAATCGACTTACCAGAAGCTTATAGTAGTTATGTATAAGGACATTAACAATCCGCAGCAGGCGCATGACGATCGGGAAATATGGTTTCTCTACGGGCACAGGGGACGGTAGTGAAGGAAGGCCTTGACGATACTTCAGACTTGGTGAGAATAATTTAATCACCAATGGACACACTTTCTCTTTCAGTAGGAAACTGAACTCAGGATGCTGAAAAACAAAACATTCACATTGGTCATATTTTGAAATATAAAAGGAGAAAGTGTGTAGGATGTCAAAACAATTTCAAATCAAAATTCAGATTCAACTTTAAATCAAAATCTTTGTTGAAGTCTACAATTTGTCAAATAGAAGCATTAATACAAACTCACTAATTCAAACCATCTACTTGGAATAACAAGGCACAGACGTGAACAATATCGTACCTAAAACACAGCATTGTGGTCTTGTTGACCAAGAAAGCAAGATGGCCGCAGAAAAGTTAATCAGCTCTAGAACTTATCACTGTGTAACATATGTAAAAATTTGAACGGTTTGGCTGGAAACCTGTAGACAAGCCTCGATAGACAAGATTTTAGGACGGAAAATCTAAATTGGCAGCCTTAACATTTACCCAGAATGCCCAAAAACTAATCAGTTCTAAACTTTCATACATAGAAAGATCCCTGAAAATTTGGTTTGGCTGGAAACCAGTAGACAAGTCTTGAAAGTGAAGATTTTCAGATTCAGATTCAGATTCAGATTCAGATATTTATTACTATTTTGAAAATTATATATGACATTCAATACAACATGACGCTCTCAAGAGCATATATGTTGGTTTTAACTGGACAGAAATGGGTCAGTGACACCAACAGGTAAGACAAATAAAAATGGAGTGGAGAAATACCTGAGAATGACACTGGCCCAAGTCTGTTGGAAATAATTTCAAAAATGTAAAAAATATTAACACTCGGGGACAGAGACACAGGACACGAGAACGGGTAATTGCTGCTAAGTTTATAATATGTATATATATAAGTTGATAAGACAAAATGTGGCAGAGTACAGATTTTCAATAGTAAAGACATTTTCAAATCTTTAAAACTATAAAGGTATGTCATTTATTTTATTTTGTTTGAACAAAGACTTAAAAATTGAGAGTGAGGCTGCTTGTCGAATATGATGAGATATAGAATTCCAGATTTGCTGACCTTGCACTTTCAGTGAATAAAGGCCAATATTTGTTTTGAACTTGAAGGCATGGATATCATGTGAATGTCTAGTTTGATACCGATGAATGTCAAAATTTAACGTAAAATAGTTTTCAAAAATCTTGCGGTGGACTAATATATTGTTATACCAGCAATAAACAAAAATTCCAACATTTAATTGATAGATATCATGCACTGGAAGTATTCTAAATTGTTTGAAAAGTGGAGCCGAGTGCTCAAACCTGTCTTTTCCTGCCATGAGACGAAGGTATGATTTTTGTAATTTGAGTAGTTTATCCAAAGCTGAATATGCTCCGGCCCAAATGATTGTGCAATAATTCAAGTAGGAATATATTAAAGAATTATAAATTGCTAACATACTTTTTATGTTTAGCAAGTATCTGCATTTGAATGAGATTCCAATGGTTCTAGATATTTTTCTTTCTACATTTTTTATGTGACTTTTCCAGTCAAGGAATTCATCAATTGTTACTCCCAAAAAATTTATTTCATGAACCCTATCAATTTGTTTTCCATTTATAAATATTTCAATTTGTTGACAAATCTTTTTTCGTTTTTTGGAGAAGACGATGAATTTTGTTTTTGAATAGTTTAAAGAAAGGAGGTTTGCTTTAAACCAGTCATCAAGAGTAATGAGTTCCTGATTAACAGTATTTACAAGTCTAGTCAAATTATGGTCTGAAGCTAGAAGATTAGTGTCATCTGCAAATAAAACAGATTTAAGACTTTGTGACGCCGTGAACAGGTCATTAACATAAATGATAAATAAAAGTGGTCCCAAAACGGATCCCTGAGGGACTCCCTGGGAAACAGTTAGGGTGTCAGACAGGGCACCATCATAAGAAACAATTTGTTTACGATTTTGAAGATAGCTTTTAAAAAAGTTTTGTTCAACTTGTCCGACACCATAGAAGTCAAGTTTTTTTATGAGAATATCGTGGTTGATAGGGTCGAACGCTTTTGACAGGTCAAGGAAGATTCCAATGGAGTATTTATCATTTTCAAGAGCTGATCTTATATTTTCGACAAAGGTCAAAATTGCCATATATGTGGAGAAATGTTTTCGAAATCCAAATTGGTGTAAGTAAAATAATTTTGATTCTTCAAAGAAAGTGTATAATCGCTTATGGACAAGTTTCTCAATGAGCTTAGAAAATACAGACAAAATCGATATTGGCCTGTAATTTGTAAATTTGTCATTTTCACCAGATTTAAATATGGGTATGACTTTAGCCATTTTAAGAAGATCAGGAAAGCATCCCTGTTGAAAAGACATATTATAAATAAAAAGAAGAGGGTTTAGAAGGTCATCCTTAGACTGACGTATAATAATAGGTTTGATATCATCAATAGATGCACTGCTATCTTTGAGATCTCCCATTAGGTCATGTAGTTCCTGGTGAGTTATTAAGTCAAAATTAAATTTAATATCTGTTTTTTTCATTGAGTTAATAAATTGAGACCAATGTTTGTTACTTTGGCCAATATTTTCCGCATATTTCTTTCCAATAGTTGCGAAAAATTCATTAAATTTGTTAGAGATTTCAGTTTTATCTGAAATAACCTGGTCATTAACTATAAATTCATTTTGAGATTTGGGGTAGGCTTTTTTCTTTTTCAAAATATCTTTTATGACAGCCCATGTATCCTTTATATTACCGTTTGCAGAGTTAAATCGGTCTCGATAATATGAACGTTCGGAAGTTCTTATAGTGCGTCTAAGTAAGCGTTTATATTCTTTGTATGCTGTCAAATTGGTTATTGTGGGACATTTTACATATTTATAGTACAATTTATTTTTAACCTTAGTAGAATTTATGATACCTATAGTTAGCCAAGGCGTGAGTTATCATTGTAATGCTTAACTCTCTTTTTTAAGAGGGGGAATGACTCATTATAGATTTTAGAAATTATGTCATGAAAAATGTTATATGCATCATTTGCCTTATTGCTAGAATATAAATCAGTCCAATCTACAGTAGAAAGCTGTTGTTTGAACATTTGTAGATTTTGGGTAGTATGTTTTCTGTATGAAATCGTTTTGAATTTTATAGTGCTTATTGTTGACTCAGAAAGTGCAAATACTGGAAAATGGTCAGAAATATCACTTAAGATGACATCCCCATGAATAAAATTAGACATATTAGTAAATATATTGTCAATTAAGGTCGCAGAATGGGATGTTACACGGGTAGGCTTGTATATCAATGGTCTGTGATTATAGGAGTACAAAATATTAAGAAAGTCATCAGTACCTTTGTGAATATCAGATTTGAAAAGATCTATGTTAAAATCCCCAGTGATGACAGAAAATTTATTTTCATTATTGATTTGTCTAAGATATGAAGTTAAATTGACATTAAATTCATCAATATTAATTTTTGGAGGTTTGTATAGAGCAGTAACGATGATGTTCTTAGATTGTTGGTTGACAATTTCAATGGCTAAGGAATTGCACTGATCATCGTGAAATTTGATATCATGTCTGAATTTGTGGCAAATACCATTAAAAATGAATAAAGCAGCACCCCCGCCTGCACGATCAGTTCTAGAAGAGAAATACGGTGTATAATCAGAGAAAAGAGATGCACATTGCTTCTCTGTGTCAGAGTTCAGCCAGGTTTCAGAAAATGCCAACACTTGAACTGGATTTTTCTTTAATTGATTAATGAAGATATTCAGCTCAGATTCTTTACTAAGAATGCTTTGTGAATTGAAATGAATTATGGAAAAATCTTGTCCAGTTTTGGAGTCCATTAAAGCAGAGAGCTCTGTTAAAGATCTATATTTGCATTTGGTAATTGAATCCATGACATCATTCTTCATATACATTTCAATCTCATCATTTTCATTAGAAAGCCTCTCATTAAATGGGTTAAAAATTTTATGTTCAAAATTGGCAAGTAAATCAGCATAGGGAACAGATTCAAGGTATTCAATATCATCAATAACACTATAAAATGGAAGTTCATGACACAATGTATCAGCCACATGTAAGTCATAGGTATCAACCATTTGGGGTCAATATGACATTACTCATATGCAAAACCTGAAAACATGTCCTGTGTCCGACCCAAAGTGTTATAAGTTTATAGTTCATGGTGTTTTGCAATAACTCACAGGATCAAAAATAACTCCAGTATTACCATGATGTAGTAGTGAAAAGAAGAAAAAATGATAAATATTAAAGAGATGTACCACAGTTAGAAAATAAGAAACAAAACTCAGACTAGGCACATATGTAACTCTATGTACAATACTTGTATATACCAATATACATATTGATTGTGGCACACCTCTTTAAAATACCTGTAATATTTGAATGTAACAAAATCCATTGAAAACATAAGCAACTCAATAATATTAACCAATAAAATTAATCACTCTCTCTTTATTATAGAGAGGAGTCCTGGTTTATCACCTCATGTTTGAGGTATTGGCCATGCAAAGACCTAGTCCTGGGGCTGTACCAAATGATCACCTGGTTTCACTTCTAGAAGAGGCCCAGTATATAACCTGTTATTGACAAACAGTTTGTCCACTTTAAGAGAGGCTCTGTCTCCCTTTTTCCTAAATTCTATCATTGTAGGGATAAGCTGCTTTCGACGTGCTCGTATCTCATCTGGGTATTGTTGAGAGATAGAGAAATTGGTACCTTTCAGATTCTTGGCATTCTGTAGAAGCATGTCCTTGACAAAAGGATTCGAGAAGTGAGCTACTACTGGCCGAGTATTTCCTGCTTTTAAAGCTCCCAGTCGATGAAATCTATCATATCCTTTGCAGGCAGTTTCAAGATCATCACCTTCCACCTTAAGATTCTCCTTAATGAAATTATCAAGTTTAAGTTTCAGTTTCTGGGGATTTCGTTCGCCAGGAACCGATTCATCCATATCCTCCTTTATTTGGTAGAACACAAGATTGTCCCTCATAGATCGTGTTTTCATTCTTAGAAGTTCCTCCTTAGTGGACTCCAGATCACGCTGCAATGCACTTATGGCAGTAGAATTGTTACTGGCTTTTTTACTTATTTCTATTTGACCAGCTTGGAGTGAAGACACTGATTTTGACAATAGCTCAAATTTTTCATTCATGACTTTAAAATCACTTTTAGTAACTTGTGACTCTGTAATGGAGTGGTCACACTTATGCCGTGTGGGCTCACGGTTCGCCACCATGTAAGTACTTTTGGGGCAGACGGCGGGGCACGGCATAGAAACACGGGGGGCAAAACAAAAATTTTCACAGCAAGATATCCCCCATCACATCAAATACAAAATTAATTAATTAATTGAAAAATTAAATTTTAAATTAGCCACACGGTGGCGAACGGTGAGCCCACACGGCAAGTGTGACCGCTACTTAAGACTTTGAATGGCTGCATAAACTGTATCTAAAGTTACCTCAGATGCTGAGTTTGAATCAGCAGATTGGCTTTTACCTCTAGGCATAGTGACAATGGTACTTCCCTCTAATGCTAAGATGGCTGATACAAATATCCAAATTATTTTCATATATGACACACTTCTCGTATCACTTTATATTAACCCTATGATAGTGTATAATTACTTCCACACGTTCCTGGTATATCCAAATACAGTCAGTGAAAGTTACAGGTGCTATTGTTTCTTATTGTTGATGAAATTTCACCCAGAATGCCCAAAAACCAATCAGTTCTTGAGGTTGATATGTAGAAACATCCCTGAAAATTTCAGATGAATCCCTCAAAAGGTTTGGCTGGAAACCTGTAGACAAGTCTTGAAAGTAAAAGATTTTAGGATGGAAAATCCAAAATGGCCACCTTAAAATTTACCCAGAATGCCCAAAAACTAATCAGTTCTTGACGTTGATATGTAGAAACATCCCTGAAAATTTCAGATGAATCCCTCAAATGGTTTGGCTGAAAACCTGTAGACAAGTCTTGAAAGTGAAGATTTTAGGACGGAAAATCCAAATGGCCACCTTAAAATTTACCCAGAATGCCCAAAAACTAATCAGTTCTTGACGTTGATATGTAAAAACATCCCTGAAAATTTCAGATGAATCCCTCAAATGGTTTGGCTGGAAACCTGTAGACAAGCTGAAAAGTGAGACGCCGCCCGCCGCCCGTCAAGCTGACTACAATATCGTACCTCTTGTTAGGTACGATAAAAACATGTATGAGATGATTGTATGTATGAGATTGTATGTTTGAGATTGTATGTATGAGATTGTATGTCTGAGATTGTATGTATGAGATCGTATGTATGAGATCGTATGTTTGAGATTGTATGTATGAGATTGTATGTATGAGATTGTATGTTTGAGATTGTATGTATGAGATCGTATGTATGAGATCGTATGTATGAGATCGTATGTATGAGATCGTATGTATGAGATCGTATGTATGAGATCGTATGTATGAGATCGTATGTATGAGATCGTATGTTTGAGATTGTATGTATGAGATCGTATGTATGAGATTGTATGTATGAGATCGTATGTATGAGATTGTATGTATGAGATTGGCCTCATTTCAACTACCTTTAGAAAGACGGCAGGAAAAGTTGTGAGGACAGATTCCATGAGCTCCAGGCCAAATGTCCGTGTCATCTCAGTCATTCCAACCAACCAATATGGCTGGTCTGCATTCACTAACTGGCAGAAATCCTGGGAAGACACATGGAATACATAAAGTATATGAAGCTTATAAAGCATGGATATCAATCAATAGAATAAATAAAATAGCAATATAAAAAAACTGTCACTTTGTCATAAACATTTTCTGTAAATGTCAGAGATTGTAAAAAATTCTTATATCTCAAGTGAATCAATTGCCTTTTGAAAAATGCATGCATCACAAATAATTTTCACAAGTCATACTTCTTTAAACTAGTTGAGCAATTATTTGAGCCTTGAAATTTTCAGGAAAGAAATTTTGTGTCAAAGTTTACTGGTGGTACACATTGCAGGCTGGTAAGCTCTTTGGGGTATTTTAGGACACTAAGCCCTTTATGGCATTCAATTGTTACAAGTCTTTACCTGGAATAATAAATATGCATCACCAGCGCATGGTCTCAGGGATTGTGGAGGCTGGCGACTTCCAGCTTTTAGTTGTTCCACGGACATGGGAGGTAGAGGCTCTGGAATCAAAAATCACGAATACTTTTGTCCACAATACAAATTTTTTTAGATCATATATAATTTCACATTTCTACTTGGCACCCAAAGATTTTTTAAAATGCCAAGACAATAACAGACAACGTGTTATTAAGAACTTAAAAACACAATGATTCACCTTGTGAAGGGACTGCATCTTCAGTGACAACTCTTTCAAAGACGATGCTCACTAAGTTGCGTACAACAGCAGCTGCAGTATTATTGGTTGTGCTGTCCTTGGTGAAGTGCAACCGAAAGCACAGAACCACCGCCTGCAATCAACATAACATAACATGGTTTGGTTTTTTCTAGGTTTTCATCACTCAGTCTAAGGCATTTTTATGTCATTACCAAATAGTGACATATTGTTATCTAATAAGCAAAACCTTAAGGATCGAGATATAAAATTAAGAATGCATTTATATATTCATTCTAACCATGAGATAAGATGCTGAATATGTATGACAAACACATGAAGAACCACGATGAAGACCCATTTCTACAATAACTCTAGTTGGTACCTAAACATCTGAACATCTCAAAATGTGGAAACTATCATTGTAATCTCAAAATGTGAACACTCTCTTATAATATGCGAACTATCATTCTAATCTGAAAATGTGAATACTCTCCTTGACCTATAATACCTATAATATATGAACATCTCAAAATGTCAATACATTCCCGTTTTATTTGAATATCTCAAAATTTGAACACTATCATTGTTATGTAAATATCTAAAAAAATGTGAAAACACTCCTGTGTTATGAAAGCATCTCAAAATATGAAGACTTTAGTGCTTCTTTTATTCACGCCTTACTGGGCCTTCCTAAATGCTTATACCCATTTGACATTGTTTGCAAAAATGAACCTACCTTTGCCAATGATTCATGTTGCACCACCGCATTGGTTGTGAGAAGAAGGGTTGCGGTCTGAAGGAGTTTCAACTCTTCAATCCCTGCCTCCATAAGCACCCACAGCATCGAAATTATATTATTAGCTGCCGTCTAGAAGTGAACATTATAGTACAACAATGCAGTTTATAGACTAAGAGTCTATCAATCCTCCCACTGAGAGCATACATAAATCTTACTCTTCATTTTGCATTCTCAATTTTATCTAAGTCAAAAGCAAGGAAAAATTAGTAATGGTTTTGGTGACCAACTTTTCATCATTATGTATCAGGGTGGGATTAATGTGCAGTAGAAAATGAAACAATTTAGGGCCTATTTTTCAATAATCAAAAATGTAGGATGCTTTATGGAAAGAATGCCCATATATAGGGCTAAAATATTGAGCATGCAAAAAATGTAAAGATATGAACTCTAGATCACACAAAATTTTACCCAGAACTTACCATTGATATAGATTCATGTTGCACAAGACGCTGCATGGAAGTTAGACAAATGTGGACGATTTTAGGGTTTTTTGTATCACATCCAAGAATAAATGGTTGAATAACCTCAGTGCTCTGTGAGACTAAACCTGAAGAATGAGAAGCACACAACCTCAGAACACATTCACTCATAATACTCTGGTATGCATTGTTACATGTACCTTCAACCAATCAGAACTCAGTTGAATTTTGTACATATTGTTTGTGATTGGCTGTTCTCTTGGCTACTGTACATATTGATGTGATGATGGAAAATGATCTCAGTTGTACTTACATGTAATTGATTTTTGCAATAAAATTGTTTAAATCAATTAGACTGATGAAAGCATATGAGAGAAAATTCACCTACCCGCAATAATATTATCCGTTTTGGCTGTAATACTGCGTAATCTTAACATCCCTGCTTCTGATGCCTTAAAATGCAGAAATGTTAAAAATCATGTTAGATACAATTATAGAATAGACTAGATGCCAGTAGAAATAATCTTGATTCACCCTTCTTTTCACAGAATTGATGATGATGACTGATATATGACGAGGAATGCTTCGATCAGAAGGGATCATGGGAAACACCTTTCATTGTGCGCATGCGTGAAAATGAACCGAATCAGTTGCAGAAATAAACCAAATCAGTTGTAGATTGCCCTTACTCAACTTCTTGGAAGGATAGAGTTTCTTACAGGTATGTACTATTAGGTTACAACAGGTGTCAGCAGTTTCCTGCTAACTGCTGTCAAGTAGTTACAAGCTGTCATTCCTAAAATGATGGATAAAATAGCACTCACCTCTTTGACTGGTGGATACTTTCTTTTGGTTTCTGCGGACAATGATCTCAGATCACCTAGCAGATTTTCCACAAGCTTTTTCGCAATGACCTGTTTATTTTGGTGGGCGGTCATGATTTTTATTTTTTATTTTTTCCGATTTTCAAGATATCAATGAATATACCGATAAGGACTCTAATGGTGGAAGTAAAATTTTACACAGATATTCACCATAACACTGTTCTTTATTTTAGATGAGCTGACGTCATGTGAAAGTCAAAATAAAAAGATGTGCAGCCTTTTTAAAAGAAAAACAAACCAACTCAAGTTTTCCTGAGCGCCGCCATATTGGACACGTCACACACGCCACCTATCATTGAAATTTGAACTGAAATTCGGCTGCTCGTGCAGACAATTCAACAAAAGGGCATATATCATCGCTTTACTTGACATTCGTGAGTCGATATTATGCATAATTTATAAATTAGTATTTATAGCTTCTCAATGCTGCAATTTATTACACAGTAAATTGTAATTTATGTAAAAAATTTGATTTTTGTATTTTTGAAAATCCAGATGTCAGCTCCAAACTTAGGCCTCAGCCTAAACTTAGAAATAGAACTTTAATAAGTGATTAGTGAAGTGCTATATTGTAGGGACCATGGGCACCAGAGTTTCTCAAGATGGTGCCCCTCTGCCCCTATAAATTGCCCACAAGTTTACCAAAAATTCCTAAGGGGGAGGCCCCATTCCCCTCCCCCCACTTTATAACTCCCACTCCCCTGCTGGATTCGCAACTGCCCAGTAACAACTTCTCATAAATGACAACAAACCAGTCTTGTTAAAATGACAACTCATCCTTCTTCCTTACTTTACTTTTTATTTTTTATATGTTTTATCCTATTCAAAAATGTTAATTTCTACCCAAATACAAAATGTAAGGCTGCATATAGGCTAAAGCTAAGCTGTAACAGAGGAAACGTCATAATAAAACACGTACAATAGTACATCGATTCCTGGAAGCAGATCGAATAGAGCACGGTCATTCATGTATGGAGAAATATAGAACGTTCATTATAGCCTATGCTGCATTCTGATTGGTTGAGAAATTCAAATAGAGCATGGTCATGTTTGAATATTATGTAATGCAATTGTATGCATTTCTTTGGTCTAATGCACTTATACCCTGGGATAAGAGGAGGGAAAGCCCCAGAGTTTAAAGATGACAGACATAATTACCTCTCTTGCTTACCACCTTCGTCGTTCGAATTTTCATCGGCTAGTTATCAAATACTACACTTCGATCCGATGGGATGTTTTAATTGATATAGGCATATTCCGTGCACCTTTCTCTATCTTGATGTAAAATGAGAAGCTATGATATTGGTTTACGCGCCAGAAATGAACATAATATTATTCGAAGCGTATTTCGAAAATTTTGAAACCGCCATTGATGACGTCATTTGTTTGTCGACTTTTGACCAATCAGCGACGATGTCATCTCAATACAGATTTACATTATAAGCGTATGTCATCTTTGAACCCTGGTGTTTCTCCCCCTCTGCCCTGGGATTATACACCCAAGTTATAGTATAACAAAACAATGATGTGATATGGAATTCAATTAATGTAATTATTATTTATTTTGTTATCTTATTCTTAGATTGGGCTGGAAAATATGGCGCAAGTTGGTCCACAACCTGGTGGTGTAGCTACATACAATCAACAGATGGGTGCTACAGTTATTGTAGGGAATGAGTATGTACAAATATTCATATTTCATATTACATGTATTAACTGAAAGTGAAAGAATTTTGAAGAAAAACTTTTGAAATAGTTTCCAAATCTGTTAACAATTGTGGAGAAATGGATTTACAAGGTTTTTAAACCTTGTAAGCTTGGACTTGCTGATATGGTTTAGTGCCTTTTCAGAAAGTTATTAGCTAAATATGTCTGTTCCTGTGGCATCCCTTTAACATGTTTAAGGTTATGTTTAAGCAAAAAATTTTGAAAAAATTGCTGTACTTGCCCATGTTATTTTCTGGCACAAAGTAAAGTATGAAGGCATTTTTCCTTGCTCTTTCAGGAAAGTATCTCTTTTATTACATTTTCATCTTATAGTAAACCCGGTAATCGGTCTATGGTACATGAAACTTCAAGAAAATGGCTGCCTTTTCAATTTTCCAAATTTCTTCTCCAAGTTTCTCAACAACACTGGATGGCCTACTCATCTTTTTTAAATTACTAAACGAAATTATAAGATACAACAAGTAGGATGCTTTCTGGAAAAACTAAGGAAATGCACCCATGTATTCTTATTTTATTTTGTACAAGAACATATTAATCATAGGTTCTGGGCTGATATAAAGATGGAAGCACCAGAATCCAGTATTATCTATCAATAAACACAGATCGATTACCATGCCATCTTTATTTAAAAATTATTTCTATCGACCTTAGCGCCTATGATATTAATAATGTGTGCAGATAATGCAATTCTTTCAAAACAAATTTCTTCAACATGTGCCTAAAAATAGTAAAGGCAATTTGTGGGACCATATTATGAACAGTACATCTGTATATCATGCAACTCAAATAAGGGCTTGCAAAAAGTGCTTGGTGTAACAAGGACGTCCTTAGTGTAACAATTAAATCACCCTTTTGTGTTGGAATCTGTTACATATTCTGCATATTGTAACTGGTATCTGGAGGGGGTCACATTTAACATGTTCAGGTAGTTAAAATTTTTTATTAGGCCCCAATGTTATTTTCAGGAACAAATAAATGATCATAACCAGAGACATATAAAACATATGTCTCTGTCATAACACATTCCATATTGTCTACCTAGTCTATTGATGGTACAAAATGCTATTACATATTTTGAGTTAAAGGCAGTGCCAGATCTAGAGGGAGTGACAAAATTGCAAGCAACACTTACAATTGATCTAACAATAACAAATTCCTTATGATCTCAAATACAATACCTTCCTATATATATCCGGTATATATGTTATGACTTTGCGAAATTTCTTGTCAGCTTGCTCACTAGATATGATTCTCCCTTTAATGATGTGAAATAATCCACCTCCTCTTCACTTTAATTCATAAAGTCTGTTTACTTTATTTCTTGCTACTTATAATTCATATACACAAAATCATGTTGCATTTCAAAATATCCCCAACATGACTGGAATTATGTTTATATTTTCCAGGGAGAGACGGTCCTATGTATGCCTGTCATTCTTCAGTCTAATCCTGAGTCCCTTCTGTGGAATTATCGCACTGATCTTTGGCTGTTGTTCCAAATGTAGTTATAATGATGGGGATTTTCAAAAAGGAAGTTGCCTAGCAAGATGTGCATGTGGATGGGCATTGACTGGAATCATCACCACAATAGTGATTGCTATACTGATTGTAGTACTATTTTTCGCAGCACCTGAAATATTTTGGACTATATATATTCTTGTTCTAGCTAAAGCACATGGCTTTGAATTGAACATGATGGGTGCTTAGATGAATGCAGATGCTGGATAAACACCACTCCTTAAATTAAAACAGAAGCTGAATATTCTTTGATGTACTTTAGGTTTATATTGACAATGGTTTTCATATTTTGTGAAACAATCATTTTTACAAAGGAGCATGTAGGTTATCGCAAACAATTTCAAACGATTCTATCTTGAATTATGAATATTTTCTGATCATGAACATAGGTGTATCTTTTACATCAATTCATTATCTTCAAGAAAAGTATATATAATGATAATTTAGTTAATCAGACCTAAGTGATATTAAAGGGGCAATGAACCAATCAACATACTTTTTCAAAAATGTTGACCTAATTTTCACCAAAAATGCAACCTTTTTATGTCCCCACCACATAGTGTGGGGCCATATTGTCGGCCTAGGCGCGTCCGTCTGTCCGTCTGTCTGTCCGTACGTCCGGCAGTTTTCTCCAAAACCGCTACAGATATCACCTTCAAATTTTCAGGGATAACTTATGAGTGCATACAGATGTGGATGAAAAAAAATTAACTCGATACCTACTTCCTGTCGGCCATTTTGAAGTCGAATGCTAAAATCCTTGTCTGCAAACTTTAAGAAAAACTGCTTCACAGTTGCTTTTAAAACTTTAACATCTTGTTCAGCTCACTTCATTCTAGATCTGATTAGGTTTTGGACCTGCTAGCTCAGTCATGTCAGCCATTTTGAATGTCTTAAGAAAAGTTAGCGCGCGATAATACTTTGTATCATATTGAATGGTGTTTTTGAGTTTTCATACTTTAACTATTTAGTAGCTTTATAAATAATTTCAGATGTACTTTGCTGTAAAAGCCTACTTTATTGTTAACAGTAGTTATATGTGATAATTTTGTAAAAAGAAATCAGCAAAAACTCATAAGGACTTTTTTATTGTCGGCCATTTTGGATTTTTCGGTCCTAAAATCTTGTCTGTGAAGTCTTGTCTGCGCGTTTTCAGGTGAACCGTTTGGTGGATCAATTTCAAATTTTCAGGGATGATTCTTAGTATAAAAATCTAGATCTCATTAGTTTTTTGGCATTCTGGGTAAATGTCAAGGCAGCCATTTTGGATTTTCCGTCCTAAAATCTTGTCTGTAAAGTCTTGTCTACTCGTTTTCAGGTGAACTGTTTCGTAGATCAATTTCAAATTTTCAGGAATGATTCTTAGTATGAAAATCTAGAACTGATTAGTTTTTTTGCATTCTGGGTAAATGTCAAGGCAGCCATTTTGGATTTTCCGTCTTAAAATCTTGCCTGTAAAGTCTTGTCTACGCGTTTTTAAGAGAACGGTTTGATAGATCAATTTCAAATTTTCAGGGATGATTCTTTGTATGAAAATCTACATCTGATTACTTTTTTTGCATTCTGCGTAAATGTTAAGGCAGCCATTTTGGATTTTCTGTCCTAAAATCTTGTCTGTAAAGTCTTGTCTACCCGTTTTCAGGTGAACCGTTTGGTAGATCAATTTCATATTTTCAGGGATGATTCTTAGTATGAAAATCTACAAACAGATTAGTATTTTCACATTCTTGGTAAATGTCAAGGCAGCCATTTTGGATTTTCCATCCTGAAATCTTGTCTGTAAAGTCTTGTTTACATGTTTTCTGGTTAACTGTGTGACGGATCAATTTCAAATTTTCAGGGGTGGTTCTTAGTATGAAAATCTAGAACTGACTAAATTTTTGGCATTCTGGGTAAATTTTAAGGTGGCCACTTTGGATTTTCCGTCCTCAAATTGTGTTGGTAAAGTCTTGTCTACTCATTTTCAGGATAACCATTTCACGGGATCACCACTTGGTGGGGACATTTTGTACACATTTGTGTTCTTGTATTATATTGTTGAATGCATAATTAGAATGTGCTTTGAGACATGTTTGATTTCCTAAAAGGAAAATTTGATTGCTCCAGGGACTTTAAAGATACTGAATTTGGATGACCAAAATGAACTGAAACCAATGGATAGCATGAGCTTTTTCAATGGAGAAGTAACATGGGAACACTTATCTTAAAGCAATTAAGTTTTTCTTTCAAAAACTATTTTGATACATCAAAATAAAGAATAGTAATGCATTAAACATTGTAAAAAATGATTGCATTTTTGGTGAAAATGGGGTCAACATCTTTGAAAAAGTGTGTTGATGGGTTGATTGCTAGTTAAATATCTCCAAGTTTGTTTGACTTAATTATTACTGTATATAATTTTCTTGGAGATAATAAATTAATCTAAAAGATAAACCTGTCTTCATTGTCAGAAAATAGTCATAATCCAACCTTCTGAAATTGTTTGCGATAACCTACGTGCTCCTTTATAAAGGGCAAATACTCATCTCTGACCCCAAAGTTCATTACTGCCTGTTTGCACCATTTGTACACTCTAATACAAATCTTTTCCATTTCATAAGAGATGCATGTACATTTTTATTTTTAAAGGGAAACTTATTTTCTACTAGAGTTTCTGAATACACTCACTACATGCATTTATTTTGCATGGGCCTTTATAAAGAGGGAAACATTGATCTTCCAGGTGAGGTGGGCATTTTCAAGGGGTGAATACATGTATCAACTTGGGACTTAGTTATTATTCAATAGAATCTAGGACATTGATATGTGACCATTTGCCATCTTAACAGTTCATTGCATTTATTTAAAAAAACATGGCATGGGCTTTTAATTTGTATCAAAGTCTATTGATGGTGCAACACTGCATGATATAGGATGGCTTGTTTATAATTTTGAAATAGCCCATTGTAAGATCAGAATAAGACATAGATAAACCAAATTCACTTTAAACTGGACATAATTAAACATTAGGAACCTATTATGCAAAATGTCTTTTTCCACAAGAAATTAACATCCTTGTAACATCTCCCCTCCATAAAAAACCTTAAGATGCTGATTTTGAGATTTTGTCAGACATTCTAACTTGCTTTATTACTTTTCTATGAAAAAATACTTGTTTAAGACATTCCACATGATCAGTAAAAATCAAAATGTCATCTCAATATCTATCAAAATACACTTTGTGACCAACCATAAGACAATGACATATCAATTTTTTAAGTTTTGGTATAAATGGTGTAAAGGTATGTGAATGATAAATTTTTCTGATGACACACTAACACAGTGAAGATGGGAAACTTTGGATTGTAGGCCTATACCACAAAATACCCCGAAATAAATGTTTAATTGCTTACAATCAGCATCTTGACTGAACATATACAGAATGACACTCAGAATAATTAAGAAGATATTTCATAAAGATATTAAATTTTAGCCAAAACTGTTGTTGTTAAATACAGTATTATTATTACCGTAATTTTAGCATTTAGCCAAAAAGGTTGTTACACATGTTACAGTATTATTGTTTTATTTTTAACAGTAGGCTACATGTAGGTGTATTTAAAAAACACATAAATGTTAAATACAATCACAGAAGTATGACTGCATGATATGCATGAAACAAACTGTATACATATTTACAAACAAAAAAATACAAAATTTAGAAATATATTGAATCAATGTTCCATAATTTGAATTGTTTTCTCTTCTTTAGACACTCATTCGCTAAAGTCACACTACCCTAATCCAATCCCACACTGTAACCAGTATTTATTTTAGGAATACAAGCTACATGGAAGTGCATATGGAGTGGGTATTCTCTATTTTTGTCTATAGGGCTTTTCTGGTAATGATTCACTACAAACTGCTCGATGAATCTATACAATGTTTACTAGAACACTTGGAATAAATATAAAATCTAATATACCTTCAGAAATATGGGAATAAACAAACATCCTCCATTTGCAACTTCACTGTACCCTGTAACCCTTTTAAAGAAATACAGGCTACAGTACTATGGGGGTAGGGTTGTGTGTAAGTGTTATATGTTTTTTTGAATCTTAAAAGGTGCGCTTTCTGACATCATCTCCAAACTAAAGAAATAAATCAATGCAATAAACCACTAAAACGTCATCCAAACATGAACAGAAGTTACATGTATGATGAAATGTCGGCTCAAAACAGAAGTCTAAAAATAATTTTGGTAAGTGCTACAATTGATAACCCTCATAATTCTAAACAAAACAAGTGAAGCTTGATTTTGTGTGCATAAAACAAATGTCTGTTATCACCTTACTTTAAAAATCATAATTAGCATTGATTCATACAACTGCACAAGGTTCCTTATAGACCATCATCTGTAACCTAATCTTTGAAAGATCTGATATCACATTCATTTGAACACAATTGCATGTTTTACAATTTTATGGACCAAGTGTAATAAAACTAAATTATAATTTTATACTTGTACACAATGTTTCAAGATAAATTACAAATACAACCAACAATACATGAATTGAAATTATGAATTACTAGAGTATTCTCAATATTGGTTGTGACATGATATTTTATTGCAATGATCATTTTGGATGCAAACGCAGTGTTAATCATTTTACTAAGTCTGTTGAACTACAGAGTTAAGGTGACTGTTAACTTAATCGATTTTCAGAAAAAATTGAAAATTTCACAATCTTGAAATTTTCAAACTCTTCCTGAGAAGTCGTTTTTATTATCCCATCGAACGAAGTTCGGAGGGATATAGGGAACGCCTCCGTCCGTCCGTACGTACGTACGTCCGTCCGTCCGTCCGTACGTACGTACGTACGTCCGTCCGTCCGTCCGGGCAATAACTCAAATACCGTTGGCCTGATTTTGTTCATATTTTGTACACATATACCCTATGGGGGTAGAAGTTCTGCTCAAAAGCCGATTTTCAAAATGGCCGCTCATTTCAAAATGGCGGCCATTTTAGTGCCGATTTTACAGTAATTTAGGTGCAATATGTAAAACTGTAATAGCAATATGTTTTTAGTGTAAAAAAATTATAAAGGACATTAATAAAGCTACAAATGTAGATATTAAAAAAGCACATGGCAGCCATCTTGAAAAATGGCGGCCTTTACTCGTTTTTTTACGATTTTTGCTGTAACTCTAAAAGTAGTGGAGCGATTTTGTTCATATTTGGTATGTGAATACTATAAGCATTGCACTCTGTCTTAAGACACTTTTGGTAGAAGGCGGCCATTTTGAAAAATGGCCGCCATTTTAACATATTTTACTATAACTCGAAAAGTAGTGGAGCGATTTTGTTCATATTTGGTATGTGAATACTATAAGCATGGCACACTGTCCTATGACACTTTTGGTACAAGGCGGCCATTTTGAAAAAAAAATTTGAAAAATGGCCGCCATTTTAACGTATTTTACTATAACTCGAAAAGTAGTGGAGCGATTTTGTTCATATTTGGTATGTGAATACTATAAGCGTGGCACACTGTCCTATGACACTTTTGGTACAAGGCGGCCATTCTGAAAAATGGCCACCATTTTTACATTTTTTACTATAACTCGAAAAGTAGTGGAGCGATTTTGTTCATATTTGATATGTGAATACTCTAAGCATGGCACATTGTCTAATAAAACTTTGGGGAGTAGTCGGCCATTTTGAAAAATGGCCACCAATTTTATGTGTGTTATTTTACAAGTACATGTGTGCGATTTTTCAAAAATTTCATAGGTGGCTACTTAAAAGCATATTATTTCTTCTGATGACAACTTGGCTAGTGAGCAACCATTTTGAAAATGGTGGCCTTTCTTGTGTGTTTTTATGATATTTGCTATATATTTCGTTTGTAAAAATGCCAGCCATTTCTGTTCGATGGGATTCGCTACGCTTTGGCGTTGCCGTTGTTCTGGTTATTTCACATATGCTTGTGCACTGTAATCATTACAAAGACATCAAAGAACAACAAAAAACTTTAGTTTGAGAAAAAAGTGCAGTTTAAAGAAATTGAGAAGATTTTTTTCTAGGAGTAGCCCGTGAAAAACCGCTGATTCAAAATATCTGAACATTTCAGAAAATATACTTCAAACATATATCAAAAACGAAGGAGCAACGGAAATTTGAAAAATTAACCGATAAAAAAATTGGGATCAAAATAAGGAAAAAAGTACACTTCTCAAATTGTTTTTTTCTATTTTTTTTAATTTGTATGAGAGATTTGGCTACATTAAAGGGATGTTTCAGAGAAATTAGAAAAAAAATGTTCAGGGACCTTTGCCGTGCTACTCTTTTTGTCAATTTTTCTGTCACATTTTCAGAGGACTCAAATTCCCATTCCAAAATGTTTACTGTTTCTATTTGCATTACCACAGTGAGCCTGGTTATATAAATGATAAGTGGAACTAAAAAATTGAGAGAAAATCCAACCAAAAGACAGTTAATTTTGATGGCCAGATTATACTCAAATGCCATGTGCTTCCTGGTTTCAGCCATCTTGGATTTTTTGATTAAGTTATAAGTTACCTTAAGGCTGCGTTTTTTAGTTGATTCGTTCATATGTGAGAGGGCGACTTTACACTCAATGGTTTATTTTTCACCCTCTAACAGAACACTCCTAATCAGGCAATAACATGTCCAGAGACAGCCAATGCCTTAGGTTTACAAAGACATAGAATATTATGTAAATGAGTGTTGTATATTATGCAAATGAGTCACATGACCCTTGAAGTTGAGAAAATATGATCCAAGGTGTTAGTAAAATAATTGTGTGTGTTCTCACTCTTTCAATGATTCATGCATTAAAACCATAACCATATAATATAATATAAAAAGGGTTTCAGGTAAAATTGGGTAAATTGACGATTCTGGCATTCATATATGAGGAGGCCCTAACGACTGAGATCGTCTCAATAAAGCGTTTCCATCCTCTTTGATGATTTCACTGTTTAGATATTTTTGAGTTTGTGTAATTCACCATATATGTCATTCTTTCCTTTTATGAGTATATCCTGTACTTTACGACTATATGGACTGTTTTGTGTTTGACTAGGTGTACTTCCAAAACGTCCATTTGCGTTCTTCAGGATACAATGTAGGACCCTCTGATCTACTGCAACATTTAAAAACTTGGCAAGACGCAGAAGTTCCATCTGGAACGGTCAATATACACAAGTTATGAAAGGTTCAAGAGCGTTTGGGTTGGACACCGTGAACATATACCCGTAGGAAATATTCTGTTAATATTCTGAGAGAAATATATTATATCCAAGGGACTGTGAATGTGAAATTAATTTTTTGACAATACAGTAAAACTTGAACATTTGAACATCTCTCTTATCTGAATACCTCTCTATAATGAACACCTTGAAGATGTTCATGTTAAAATGTTGGTGAAGTATATTGCATGGAGATACAAATTATATCTCTGTCAAAATTATAAAAGTATTGTAGGCCTATATCATGTGAACAGATAAAATATCCACTGAAATGCTCCACCTTGATCGTAAGGAAGAAACTGGGATTACACAAGACAAACTGACAAAATTGCTTACCTCCAATTGGGTTCCCAAGTTCTCATATTCCACAACAAGAAGGGGTCCAACGGATGAAAATTCCAACCAGTATCTCATAAAGAATTGCCAGGCATAACTTTGAACCTGGGCATAACTCTCCCAATCTGAATCAAATATATAAACAAATCTTTCTGAAGTTTATATACACACAACCTATAAAGTAGAACACATTTGGTATCTCTAAAAAATGTTCCACTTGGGAGGTATTCAACTTATAGAGGCTCATCTAACCGATTAAGTCAGTTGGTCTTGCGTTCCACTAAAACAGGGGTGTTTCACTTCTAGAGGTGTTCCACTCTACATGTTTTACTGTATATCAAATGTGTGTTTTATCAAATAAATACTAATAATCAAAGTAGAATATAATAAAATAGTAAAATATGAGGATTGACGTTTGATAAGAGTAGCAATAAATAGCCCACTTTATTTTTTTGCCTTTCTGTTGATACATTATACTAGAGTCCCCCCTTTTAGTGGCATTTGGGTCCCCAGCTGTGAGAAGCACTTTTAACAGCTGGGGACCCAAACGTCGCTAAAAGGAGGGAGTCTGTATAACCGAATAATGTAGCAACAGAAAGGCATTTTTGAAGGACTACAAATTAACCGTTTTATTCATGTTTAGTTGGACCCCCATGGAACTGGTTATTTGATAATCAAATGTATGATTTAATGTATGAATGAAACGCTTTTAAACTCACCCTGCACTATATGCGACACTTCATTCCTCCTGTTAAAATCAGCCAGAATTGAAACAAATGGATCCCTGACTAAAAGAATAGTTCGCTCAAATTTAACAGTTCCAACATTAAATGATTTTTCATTTGTTTCGATGGCTATGACACTGTTGTTAGTGACACCATCTGCCTGGAATTCATCACTTGTATGGCCTTCTTTTGTATTGTTAACACTACCAGTATAGATACCTGAAAAGTTGCATTTTATTTTAATATGTTTGATGCTGATTATACTAATCTATCAAACCTATAGACAATACATAAACAAGGGTTATGTACTGGGAGGTTTTGGATATGTGATTTATCCAGAGAGAGATATGCATTTCTACCTGAGGGACCGGAAGTAGATGTGCATATCTCATGAGGGATAAACCCCATATCCAAAACAACCGTACATTACTGCTTTAACCTATACAGCCCAGAAGTTTTCTATTTTCAATCTTTTTTTGTCAATTTTTATCATTTTTTGCGGGAGATATGGAGGTTCTGGATATGGAAAACTCAAAATCAGGATACAGGATCAACTTATCTCCCTAAAACTCTACTTGGTATAGGATGAAAGTCAATATTTTGTTTAAATATTTTAATATTGATTGATGAAATATTCAATTTACAATATAATTTGTATTATTTATAATTAGAATATAATGTCATTATGTTTCAACTACACCTTACCTGTTACCTGATATATGCAGTGCCTCAATGAAGCATTCCCCTTCATCTTACCTGTTACCTTCTGTGGTGCTTCAATGACATATTCCTATTCATCTTACCTGTTAGCTGATGTATTAGGTGCCTAAACCAGCTACTTCCACTACCTGGAAAGCTGGCAAGAGCAGTAAGAGCTAGAGCTCCAGGTTTCCCATTATGGTAATGTAATGATTGGCATTCCTCCTTAATTACAAGTCTTTTCTCTGTTTTGTTTTTGCTCTTTACTCTTGTATTGTACATAGTTAAAATTCCAACTATGATAAGGCATAAAACAACATTTCTGACAGTTTTATTTTGTGTGTAGTTAATTAGGTCAAATTTATGCAGCAATTTTCTGATGGATTTTCCTGTCCCAAACGCCATTATGTATTTTTGTAATGCATAAGTATTATTATGCATTACCATGTAAAATATGAACTTAGTGCGTGTGATTCTATTCCTTTGATATCAAGATCTAAATGAGATTTGAACAAAAGTTTTGCTGGACTAAATGTACCATTATAACATAACTTTTATTATTGGATTATTAAATAAACTGTTGTTGTCATGAATTGTATGACTAATCTTATCTTGTTTATTGTGAAGCAATCCAATGAAACCAGTGAGCAAGTCATTGAAGTCATATAATCTATTGTTAATCCTTACGTGTTGAAGTTACATGATAAATAAAGGGTAGATTTAGATTCATTAAATTTATTATACGTACATACCCATAATGAGTTGCTAGTAGGTGTATACAATGCAAAATTGAGAATGTATACTAACATCCACATTACACAAAAAATGATGGGACACCATTGTAGATTAATATAAAATGATATAACCTGCATTGGGAGAGTTTTGCGGTATTAACAGTCAGTCATTCAAATTGCTTAGTATGAAGAGTGAAACAATTTTTGAAAGGATAGGTATCAATATAAATTCTGAATTCAACAATGTTTTTCTTTTAAACCAATTATTGAAAACATTCTGTTAAAAACATGGTCCTTTATGTAATGTTGCCTAATTACCCAAATGCGAGTAGGTAGTTACCAGTTTCACCACCAGGTGGCTGATTCGGGTCAATTAACATGGCAGGTATATAAGAAAGTTCCCTTAAACTTGAATACTATCAATTTAAGTGGCTCAATTTTCATATAATCCTTATGCGCCTAATACTTATACTAATGAAAATATGTCCAGTACCGGATTTTCTCGCATATAAGCCCTGGGCGTATAACTGAAAGAAGGGGTAATTTCGTCTGTTATTTTACCTCTTATTTTTCGCCCACGGGCGTATAAGTGTACTACTTTCGATTTTTGGCCCAGTGGGCGTAAAGGTGAGAAGATGGTGGGCATCAGCCATCTTCCTCAAAGACTACCGTACCTACTGTTGTAGTCCTACCGCATGTATTGTAAGAATTATAAAGGAAATGTCACCTACAACCTTGGACTTAATGTGGAAACAAAGTAACAACAGAACGATCCACCACTGCCACTTACGGCACAGCGTTGAACTTAATGTTGAAACAAAGTAACGACAGAACGATCTGCCAGTGACAAAATACTCTTGAATTTATTGAAAAATCAATAAATAGTCATTTTTTATAGGCCCATGGGCGTATAAGCGTACTACATTCGATTTTTGGCCCATGGGCCTAAATTTAGGGGGGCGTATATGCGAGAAAATCCGGTAAAGCAAAATATTATCTGTCTACTAAAAGAAAAGATATTTCATTTTTTGTGATTTTATAGCATGGGGTCTATGGGGAATCTCCCCGAGTTAGAAGTCACATTTTCAAAGAAAATTAATTTTTCAACGTTCATAAACACTTTTTAAAACCACATTTCTAGATGTAATTTTACATGTAGATTTCAAATATGATATTACTTTGACTGAATTTTGAATTTTTAATGACGTAAATCAAGATTATTTCTACTCCCATCTGGGTTATTGGCAACAATTTGATACAAAATTTATTTATGTATATTTTATAAAACTGTTTGCTATCACTTTTTTGTTTTTTAGTGCAATTGTTTTTTATTCCTTTCTACCAATTCTTGAGAATGAAATAAAATGTTTTTCCGAACCTAGTTGACAGTTGGAGCAAAATAGCATATACAACATTTTTTTAGACCTCTCAATATTATAGTTCATTAGTTATACAAAGGAAATATTGGTTGATTTAGCAAAAAGTATGCAAAAAGTATGCAAAAACTTAAAACAAACCCCCAAAATAGATAAGATTAAGATAAACCTTTTATTTCATTAACAAGATACTTTTTTAAAATCAACCAAACTTTCCTTTGTGCAATTACAATATTAAGAGACCTAAACACATTGTGTTTATGTCGTTTTGTTCCAATGAGGTTCGGATATAGAGATTATCCTATATGAGGTTCAGGATATTGGGATTATCCCGAGGCTAATATAATATATTTGCCCGAGGGCCGCAGGTCCCGAGGGAAAATATATTATATTGGCCAAGGGATAATCCCAATATCCTGAACCGACTATAGGATAATATATTTATCCCATACCAATCTTGGTCATCCGCTACACATTGTTTAATCGTGGAAATATTTTAGAATATTCATGTCCAGTTTTGTTTTCTTGGCCGTGGGCGGATTTTCCTGTTCCCTAAAATATTCCCACATTTATTTTCTCGAATTTTTGATTGATTAAGTGGATGCTCCTTCCCTTTTTTAAACCATGAAACAGATCCCGATTATCTGTGTTTTCTCTATTGTCGTTTACAGTCATTACGCGAACGTTACAAATTATGAACAAATATGCGAGCGGCGATTATGACGTAGCGGGCAGATATACTATATCTGCCCGCTCGGAGCGGGACGTAAAGCTATAGGAATATCCTATGGTTTTGAAAAAATATCATTTATATCCATGAGTGGATATTGATATCTTCATGAGTGAGCGCAGCGAATGAGTGAAGATATTTGTATCCATGAGTGGATATAATTGATATTTTTGAAAAACCATGGGATTGTCTGTTTATCCCATGGGAAATCATCATCAGCGAAAAAAGTTGAAAAATATAAGTTGAGAAAAAAATTGAAAATATAATTGAAAAAATTGAAATTTTGAAAATCTTTTTAAATATTTTTGAAAATAATAAAAAAAATGTAAAAATATTTTTTTTTTGAAAAAATTCGAAACCATCGAATATCACTTTTAAAACCATCGAATATCACTTTTCAAACCATCGAATATCACTTTTTAAGACGTGATATTCGATAGTTTAAAAGTGATATTCGATGGTTTGTGAATTTTATGCTAAAATATGATATCTTGATCCATATATCAAATATATCTTCATGTGATATTCGATTTATATCCTTGCAACCATGGGATAATCTGCCCGCTGATGAAAATATAAGTTTTTACAAACCGGCTTTATGTACCTATAACACGTCCACGTATGGGATAAATATGTTTTATTTCATCCCGAACATATGATAAGAACAAAAGAAGTGTCTGATGTGTTTTCTAAAACAATATAGAGAAAAGTATATAGTACGTACTATATATATATTTCAAATTATTATGTTACCATCCAATAGATAATCATTAAATTGACGATGTGTAAAATGCTCAGAATGTTTTTATGACTTGTTTAAGAGAAACGCGTTTTCAAAAAGTTCACCATATCGATACCACTCCTTTGGAGTTATAAGAAATAAAGTTCAGTAACATATCTTTTCATGACGTCTCATAGACATCTAAATACCCCTTACATTCACTCCCCCGATCCTCCGTTTAATTTCATTTATTTTCGATATAATGCATTTGTATAACGCATGGAAACCCATTTAAATGGCAGTAATTTTGTAATATTAATGGCATTCATAAGTATTTTTTATGTGATATTAGAGAGATTTCGCACATACGTAAAATACAACTTATAACGTATACTTATACTTATAAGAAAACGTACAAGGTGTTTCATAATGTAGGCTTTTCGTCAGGAAAGATCTTCTCGGACTGTAATAAATAAAGGTCAAAAGGATGCCATTTGTACTTTCTTGAATTGAAGCATGTTTAGTTGATCCAAATGTGTTTGTCTAGAATAAAATAGACTCATATATAGTACATACATATAGACCCATCTCTTCTCAAATTGACTTTTTGGAGATGCTCGTTATGAAACACCCTGTATGTCATTTGTTGAGCTACTGAATGGGTCGTTCCCAGAAATTGCTAGAACCTGCTGGTTTGATTGGTGTTTCAAATTGATGAGTATTTGATTGGAAACTGTTCCAGCCAATTAATTTTTAAAAATGCTTGCGGTCAATTGTTCCACACACATGTAGGTCAAGCTTTATACGGAGATCAATCTGTATACGTTTATCATCTACGGGTATATACAATTTTTTAAGTTCATTGAACTTATACTGATCATGAAAACTTTGAAATAATCAACTTGTTTATGTAATGACTCACTTAAAGGATCACGACTCACTTTAAAGGATCTTGTTTATAATACACTACAACTACTAAGACACGGAAGCAAGCATTTAATTAAAATGTGCATAATACACACGTGCAGATGACTGTGCATTCACAGTCTCTGGTTGATGGAGCTTTTCTATATCGGGTATAGTTATGTTCCATTAAGGTGACTGTTAACTTAATCGATTTTCAGAAAAAATTGAAAATTTCACAATCTTGAAATTTTCAAACTCTTCCTGAGAAGTCGTTTTTATTATTTCACATATGCTTGTGCACTGTTATCATCACAAAGACATCAAAGAACAACAAAAAACTTTAGTTTGAGAAAAAAGTGCCGTTTAAAGAATTTGAGAAGATTTTTTTCTAGGAGTAGCCCGTGAAAAACCAGTGATTCAAAATATCTGAACATTTCAGAAAATATACTTCAAACATATATCAAAAACGTAGGAGCAACGGAAATTTGAAAAATTACCCGTTAAAAAAATTGGGATCAAAATAAGGAAAAAAGTACACTTCTCAAATTGTTTTTTTCTATTTTTTTAATTTGTATGAGAGATTTCAAAATTCTAAAGTTCCTTCCATTTTGGGCTATATTAAAGGGATGTTTCAGAGAAATTAGAAAACTAATGTTCAGGGACCTTTGCCGTGCTACTCTTTTTGTCAATTTTTCTGTCACATTTTCAGAGGACTCAAATTCCCATTCCAAAATGTTTACTGTTTCTATTTGCATTACCACAGTGAGCCTGGTTATATAAATGATAAGTGGAACTAAACAATTGAGAGAAAATCCAACCAAAAGACAGTTAATTTTGATGGTCAGATTATACTCAAATGCCATGTGCTTCCTGGTTTCGGCCATCTTGGATTTTTTGGTTAAGTTATAAGTTACCTTAAGTACAATTTAAAATTGATTTTAGTAAATATAATAGTTCGACATGACCCTTTAAACTATACGTATACGTATAAGTTGTACTTTCACTTATGTGCGAAATCTCTCTAATAAATATATTCCAACAGAAAAGGTATTTCACTTTTTGTGATTTTTATAACATGAGGTCTATGGGGAATCTCCCCGATCTAGAAGTCACTTTAATGAATTAAATCTTTAAATTGATAAATACTTATCTACATGCACTTTTACATGTAGACTTTAAATATGATAGCTCTATTACTTTGACTAAAATTTAATAACGGAAATCTAGATTTAATATTCCTACTTGCATCTAGTCTATTGAACAGGACCGTCACCAGGACTTTTTTTTGCCGTAGCTCCAAACCCCACACCGGAATAGCCTGACAACGGTAAAGTCATATACCGTCGTCACAAATGGCGGACATAACCGTCGCTTCAACTCTCTAATCACTTGGTCCTCGTTTCACGGGACTTTATCGTCGCTAATTCTGTGCATGTATCGAGCTCTTGTAATAATGTATCGTATGAAATACCAATTTCATACGGCATATGGTAAATTATTTGAAATTCAGATTCCGTTGTCATTGACGATATCGAAGACGCTATATTTTGGCCACTCACGACCCAATTTGATCTAAATTGGGATTTAATATGATACATCATCACAAGAGCTTACTACATGCACAAAAATAGCGACAATAAAGTCCCATGAAACGAGGACCAAGTGATTGAAGAGTTGAAGCGACGGTTATGTTCGCCATTTGTGACAACGGTATCTGACTTTACCGTTCTCAGGCTATTCCGGTGTGAAATCTACCGTTTAAACGGGAATACATCTTTTTTATTCATTTTCTAAGACATATTGGTATTTTATATAAGAATAACTTTTAAGTTCTTTGCCTGTTGACATATTGCCATAACAAACGCTATCACACAGGTAGATGACGTAATGGATAGTTTAAGGCTGCACAATGGCTAGCTTGACTCTTATCCCGTACCAGGACCTGGCACGGGATAAGCTTGACTCCTGTATAGTTCAATTGAATGGGGCTTCATAAAAATCACTATCATATCTTTTTTGAAAAGAAAAAAAAAGTATTTTGATGCCATGGTTCATTCTCAGTCTTTTATTTTGAAGAAATTACGAGACTTAAACAAACATGCCCGAAATTAGTTATTTACAAACGGTTAGAGGGGGCAAAGTTGCCCCCTGTGACCCAGAATTTGTGAAACTCTTCATATAAATATCTTACAAAAAGCAAAAGAAAATCCAATATTCAATGTTTTGAGCCATACTTTATTAGAATTGGTGTATGGTTTATGAAGGTATTGACATTTTAAGATCATAAAAAGGGCTTTGCGCGCGATTTCACTGGAAAATATTTTCGTCTATGGAACATTTCTTTGGATCACAGTAACCTTACAACTAATGGAGGTAGGATGCTAGATTTTACACAATAATGTGGGGGATTCAAAACCAAGCAAAGTCGTAAATATGAGGTCTTTCAGATTGTGGCTAAAAATGGTCAGAAAAAGAATGTGGAAGGGTTGAAGAATCGTAGATGTTGAAGTTCACATTCTATGATTCTATCCATTTCAGTAATATTTGGTTAGGGCTTTTAATTTCTGGTTTCAAGACTAAGAAAAATGTATGGTACCAACAAAAACTTTAGACCTCTACAAGATGTCAAAATATGAAAGGATTCCTGCAGGTAACAAGGGGAATATAGTCCGTTGCATAGGTTTACTTTTTTGACCGCCCTGTAGTACAAGTCAACAAAACGGACAACTAGTAAATTAATTTTTTGAATAATAAAAATAAATCTGAACAGTGGGGTGCAGAAAAATGACTTTATCAGAATATTAAAAATATAGTAAGTGCCCATTAAAGGGCTGTTCAATCAAATAATTTGTTTATATATAACCCTCCCCCCCCCCCATTTTTCATTGAGACTATAGTGTACCTAACATAAGACTCATAGAAATTTGGTCAAAAGTCAAAGGTTAGCCTCTGTAAATCTCCCAGTTTTAGAATTTTGAATATAGATGCTTCAAGAGCAATTAAGTGATCTTGCAAAATGTATTCATGAATCCTCTATGATATCATTAACCTGTTCAGACGACCGAATAAAAGATGGCTAACTTCCGTTTTAAAACCTGCCCAGGCCGATTAAAAGATGCCTCACTTCCGCTATGATGTCACCCTCTTGTCCAGACAGATTCAAAATGGCTGACTTCCTGTCAGTGTTGCCTCACTTCCGCTATGATGTCACACTCTTGCCCAGACAGATTCAAAATGGCTGACTTCCTGTCAGTGTTGCCTCACTTCCGCTATGATGTCACACTCTTGTCCAGACAGATTCAAAATGGCTGACTTCCTGTCAGAAAGCTTCAAAATGGCTGACTTCCGGTTTTAGGTGACCAGCCGTGACCAGCCTGAGCTCATGGGACCAAAATCTCTACTACTGAAGGGTGTGGAAGGGTTGAAGAATCGTAGATGTTGAAGTTCACATTTTATCCATTTCAGTAATATTAGGTTAGAGCTTTTAATTTCTGGTTTCAAGATTAAGAAAAATGAATGGTACCAGCAAAAACTTGGTCTACAAGATGTGAAAATATGAAATGATTCCTGCAGGTAACAAGGGAAATATATATAGTCCGTTGCATAGGTTCACTTTTTTGACCACCCTGTAGTACAAGTCAACAAAACGGACAACTACGAACTAGTAAATTATTTTTTTAAATAATAAAGAATAACTCTGAACAATAGGGTGCAGAAAAATGATTTGATCAGAATATTAAAAATATAGTAAGTGCCCCTTAAAGGCCTCTTTTCGATCAAATAATTTGTGTGAAAATCTTGAAGTTTCTTGTAAAAAGACCTGCTTCACCCATTGTTAAAATTTGATGACAACCTGTGAATATAAATGAATATAAAATTGACTATTGAAATGTAAAGCTTTAAAATCACGATCGTGCGTCTAGTCAAAGACTTCAAATGTTCAAAGTCTATGGACATTGGTCTACTTAATTATTTTTCACATCTCAATGGTATTGTGCGAGTGCATTATTGCATATCTTGAGCTGATCTATATTTGATAGATTTTGGACGGAGATATCTGCAATACTTTAAATCCTTCCATTCATGTTCACTCATATTCTTAGCAGGTCCAGATATTGCATAATTACGATACTTCAACTCTTGGTCCTTGACTTTATAGATAGGTGGCAGTACTACAGGAGGTAGGATTGCTGCTAATGGTTTCTCGGTCTCAACATAGATGTCACTGTGATTGTTTATGTCCATGGCTGGTCTGCCCAGTTGACTGGTTCTCCTATCCATACTTGTCCGACTAATTCTACGCTGTCTATGACCATCTTTAACACTACCGCTTTCCTTAGTTATCTCCAGCTGTGTAGCATCAGTGTGGACAAGAATGGGTCTGGTCAATCCATTATTGCTGAATTTGCGGATTCTATCAGGTCCACCATGGAGAGATATTCTCCTAAGTTTCTCAGTATGATCTGATAGTGAATCAGCTGCCATGTTTGGAGGCACAACTACGCTACTTGACCTATTTCTTGTAGTGGTGGTTGGCACATTAGTGTTCAATTGCAGATATTCCCGAATATCATGCTCAGAAGTCTCTGGATTGTAACCTCCTTTGTCATTTAAACCATAAAAGTCTTGCAAAGCTAAAAGTTGGGAACTCCTACGTCGCAAGTTGTTGACATTTCGATCCTTTTTAGAGTCAGTGTTCATTTCTTTATCAATAAACTTTTCAACCTGTCGTAGTTTCTCATCCTCACGATTATTGTATGCTGCGATTATTCTCCTTGTGTTTTTGTCCAGCTCAGCTAGTTGTGTACTCCTACTTAGTCGTCGCTGGTTCATACTTGCGAAGTCATACGCAACAAAAACAATGATTTATGTATACTTCACTTTTGTGCCTATCAGAATTTTAAGAACCACTAATCCTCGACTTAGAAACACAAACTTCCTAGTGTTTTTCAAGTTAATCATCGAACAAATAAATACATTAATATTATCTCTCAATGTATTGTCTATGGGGGACCATTCACAAAATCCCTATATTGTTAATAATCGTATTGTCTAATACATTATGTGATAAATTGTTTTCTATCTAGCACAAACATTTGTTTACTAAACCTTGTGGATTCCTTCCTTTGTCATGAACATATCCTGGCTCTTGTTGGTTGCTTGGTATAAATGTTATCAATAACAATAAACGGATCTTCATAGTGTAGAATGATACTTTATGTCTTTGTACATTGCTCTGGTGTTTAAGTCAAGTGTCCAATACTTCAGTTATAATATGAAATATTCCTGTTATCTAGATTCCTGTGATCTCATATCAACATACGGAGCGAACATTTGTATGGAAGAAATAACATCTATGTTGAAATAATATGTCTTTTTTATTGCATTTGTGTGTATATTTATTTGCATGTAAATTGATACAAATGTTTCCAATTCTTTTGAAATGTAACTTTATGACATTTTTTCATTCTAACCAGGTTTTCAGAATGAAGAATAAAAACTGTTCTTTTAAAACAATTTCAACTTTTTCAATACAAAAGTAATAATAAAAATGTGTTTTCAATTTGTCAAAATATCTCCTCACTCGTGCGATAAAACCGCTTCAAGACTTATCTTGATAATTGTTAACACAGTCACTGCCAAGTATCATTATATCTTGATATTGGGAGTGTTACATTTTGAAGTGTTAGTAGCATTTCTAGACACGCAATACTTAGGTAATGTTTTGTAATCAATATATCAATTCATTTTAATTTTAATATCACATCAAATATACCAATTATTATGCAATTACAAGCAGGAACTATTTGGCACATACCACTCTACAAATCGCCAAAGATGATAATTCATATATTAAGTACAGTAAAATCTGTCTAAGTGGAATACATTTGGAACTTCTAAAAAGTGTTCCACTTGGGAGGTGTTCCACTTACAGAGGTTCATTTATCATTAAGTCAGTTCCGGTTCTTGAGTTGTTCCACTTTACAGGTTTCACTATATTGTTCAATGATATGTTACATCTAACTTTAACCCAAACATGTTACAAAGACAACTCATTGACATACATAATAAGTTTAGTACAGTTTTTAGTTTACAAGGTACTTTAATACAAATATTGATAAGCATTTCAAATTAAACAATAGACACTTGAACATATATCATATCTGAATGGCATGTTTTGTGATATTTTATTGTATCTTTATGAACTTGTCACTATTTAAATTAAAGGCAGAATCAGATCTAGCGGTTACTTTGATGCTTCATCTTGACAAAAATTGTTTCAATTTTAAAATATTTTGGGCTCATATCATTCCCATCGTCCGTACGCACGGCTTCAAAATCCAAAACATCTTCTTCCGAAAGTACGGATTTTCTAAAGTATATACTTTAAAGATTTTTACAATAATGCGATTATTTATTTAAATATTTCCCCCCATTTTTGCACTTCGAATCTATTGACATTTTACAGGGTGCGCATACGTGGACATATGCGGTTTAAATCATTTACGAGTCCTGTGTCCATATATTGGATCAATTAACTTTTTTTAAATAACAGATTATTGAATATACAAAAATACATCAATTTACAATCGTGGTCTAGATTATGGGAATGAACAGAAACTATACCAGTGTTCCTCAATATGGCATGTCTGTCTAGTGTACTTGATGTGATAAACAACAAAAATAACTGAATTCTAAAATTAATCATTCTGATTTATCAGCGTCTCACTTTATCGAAGGCTTTGGTGAGATTCCAAAGGATAATACATGCTGTTGATCCCACAATGAAAATTGATTGCTTTTGAGAAATGCCCCCCTGATAGTAATCAACACTTGAAATAATAATCACATTTATTGCCTCGTTAATTAGCCCTCCATAGCAACAAGGCCCAATAATCAAAATTTTCTTAACAAAGGTAACATAATCACTTGTCTCTGGGGTTAAATGTCTTAATTAATTCATGATTGATATCATGGGTTCTATGTATTACAGGTAATAAGACATGCATTTGGCAAGTGTATTTGAGAAAATATACTGTAAACAATATCTCAATCAGTAAACAATATCTTCATGTTGCATGTCAGAGCTGTTCATTTTAGGTGATATGTATATACAATAATATCATACTGTGCATCTTTTAAACAAGCATATTTTTATATCAACATGAAGAAGTGATTACATATTGTTCGAGCCACCATTTTTGGACTGACATACAGTATCTGTAACAATTTGCAATACAAGTCTCTATAGTAGATTTACACTAGGCATTAACATGACAAAATGTCACCAACTAGTTGCTCACAATATTATGAGTTCAATCTTAAGTTTTGAATTTCTGAAAACTTGTAGATGATTTTGAAAAAAGGTCAATTTGAAGCAAGATGAAAAAAACCTTTATGACCTTGAAAAGGTCATAAAAGGTCAAACCTTTTTTTGCTGATTTTGAAAAAAAATTGATCAATTTTAAGCAAGTTGAAAAACACCTTTTTTGACCTTGAAAAGGTCAAATCTCAAGTCAGATTTGAACTTCTGAAAACTTGTAGATGATTTTGAAAAAAATTAAGTCCGTCTAAACAGAATTCGTTTAGTTATTGAAAGTTTTAAGAATTTGTTACAGACGCCGATCGCCAACCACCAACCAGTCAAAAAAAACCGAATACTACAACAGTATGTCACCACTTTTTGGTGGTGACATAATAGTAAATAGAAATATGGTTTTGAGCATATTTTATAAACTTTGAAATTCCTTAAAAATATGACTTTTGGGTAAATTCCCTTGAGAGCCCATGTCATAATTAAAAGCATGAAAAGTGGAATATATTTTTCTGGATGTGTTTTTAGTTATCATCATCAAACTCAAACAGGTAATCTAAAAATTGATCCAATAAATCAAACAAATGGTTATTGAACTTTAGAGGACCTTGTCCCCATATATGCCATGTTACCTGACCCAAATTTAACACCTGGTAGTGGAACAGAGAACTAACCACTGGACCTTGGTTTATCTGGGTGGGCTGCATGTTAAAGTTCTTTCTATACTATGACTCTTGAGATTCTTGGGCAAACAGACCGTGATTACACAATTAATTACGATCAACAATTGAAGATTTCATTTTTTCTATTTATTACAAAATATACAATTGTACAATATTATTTCGTTTTATTTCTCGACTCTATTGGCCACTACATGCAGCTTATACATGCCTTTCATATTATCATGATGTTTCAAGCAAGTTGTAGCAATGACATTTATTTCAGTGGATTGTTTCTGCATTTTAATAGCAATCTTATTTCAATTCCACTTTTTCTTTATCCCATGATTTCTTAACTAGAAAACAGCAACTCCCGATGTAGCAAAGTCATATGGCTTCTCACTCTCAAGAACTACTCAGATAATTAGATTAGTCAATTTTAAAGAATACATATATTATTATAGTTCTTGCAATGTTGGTCATATATATCCTGACTCATCCTTCTATATATATATATATCCTAAGGGGTCTTCCAGTGGTCAGGTTTGTGAATATCCCAAGGGGCCTTTTTGTTGGTCAAGAAGAATGAGGGATGATTCTCGGATTTTCTGTAGCAATTTCTGTAACTCATCTTTTCTGAAAACCTGTAATATAAAATGGTCATGAATCAGATAAGGTATGATAAGAGCACCAAACGAGTGCTGCCAAATAGAATTGGAGAGATGATCTATTATGTTGGGTTTGTTTATAGCTATATACTGGTAATAGAAACTGTGGAAAATTTTTATTTTAGACATTGACATACAGTTACAGAGAAATAATTGGCTCTGCAAAGGGGAGTTGAATATCTGAAGTGAACAAGAATGCTCAAGTCATGCAGGGTTGGGGATTTTCAAATCAAAATTTCCAGACTTTTTCCCTGATTCAAGCCTGAAATTCCCTGGTTCCCTAACCAAATGTGTTGTTTTTGATTAATATGAAGAAAAACTAAGTCAAAGAGATACACTGACTGCATGAGCTGATTTTGGTAATTTTCAAAATTGCACCAATTCAAATTCCCTCAGGATTCAAAAATTCCCTGGCAGTTTATATATGGTGTATCCCCTGTTATCCCACCCTAATGCTTTATACGATTGTATAATAGCATTGTATAACTGCAATATAAAACCAACACTCATCATATATAACTCTTTAGAACGATATACAACTCCTGGATAGAGTATACGACTCCTGGGGAGCGTATACAACTCTTCCATTTGATATACAACTGCAGAGTTTAGATTAACGTTTTATTGATTAAAGAATAGTATGGGATAATAAGATCATATAATGGTTGATTGTGTATATCGGTATACTCTCGTGAGTATGATTTATTCACTCGTTCCTTCAGTCACTCGTGAATAGGTCATATACTCGCTTGAGTATAAACACGATATACAGAATTAACCATTATATAACCTCATAATATCTAAGGGTATTCATTCCATTTGTAACACAACTTACAAGATATAGTTTGTGTTGCTCAGATGCTATAAGATCTGCCAATTGTATTGCCTTTTTATACTGCTCAGTTATGTGCAGCACAGTATGTAAAAGGAAACATATAGTGGGTAAGCACAATTGCCGTAACAGCTTCATTTGATTTGCCCTTGATTCTTCCATTTGATCATCCTCCCTCATGTCAACCATCCAACCTCCATTCACAAACATGAGTACATTATACATTTTCTCTTCTGTTGCCTGGAAAAACAAAAAATATTTAAATTAGAATTTTCTTGAGGGGATTCATTTGTTGTCACAAACAGACCTGATATGACACAGTGATTGCAAGATGTTTGGAAGCTCAGTACTTCACTCCAAATTACTTACTTTTTTAACTCACTTGAGCAATGAAAAGAATATTTATGTTCATGTAGAGTATAAATATGGCTGTGAGAGTCGTACATGTAAAATTATTAATATAAAATTAATATGAATAAATATTGAGCCAATTAACACAAAACACAATACCTAAGAAATTAATGGCTAATTTAAGTTAATTAGCTACTAGGTGCATTCATGCGCCTCTGGGCCTTTATATATATATATGAGATTTGTCATGGCCCCAGAGGCGCATCACCAAGCATTAAAAACCCTAGGCAAGTTGAGATTCTGAAAAACAACGGATCGGTTGTTTTTGCTTTTTTTCGGAGCTCCTTACCTTAATCTTTAAAATTTTTGGACCACTATGTAGCGACGTTGTTTGTCTTCAAATTGACCCTAGTTGTTATCATGTTTATCGTGGAAATTATATCAAGAAGTGTCTTTGTATTTTTCGGGTGAGAGAAAGTCGAACGAAAAAGTTGAGTTGACCTACATAATTTATGCGCATGCGTGATGTCACAAGTCACGTGACTAAATGAATCTGCATATGAATTAAGAGTCACTATCTCTGTTTGGTATTCCTTATTAAAACTAGAAACTAATTCTATAATAAAAGTCACTGTCTATAATGAGAATTCCTTAATTAAACTTCAACATGTGTCAGTGTGATTCACTCCCGGGGATTCACTGTTGAATATTGCTTACTATGCAGTCTGATTGATATGAACTTTATGTAGTAAAATAGATGGCATCGTATACATTAGGGAATTCCCTATCTCTTCTCGCGAAGTCTCGTGCCGCTATAGAAAATTTTGAAATAATTTAAAAAGTGATGATTTTCCTATAGTATCAGCGCAATTACATCGTGCATAACAACTTATGTATGGTAAGTTTAACAATTTATCATATAACATTACATTGGGACAAATATATTAAAAAAAACAAATGGGAATCAAAAGAAATCAACTCCAAAGTAGCGCTGGGTTCAAAAAAATTTAATTTTCTGAAGTTTGAGGATTTTAATACAGGTGCATCCACGGCTCTAGTGACCCTATCAAAACTCCGAGAGTCAAATAAGTCACTAGAGCCGTGGATCCACGTCTAATTAGCTACAAGAGTTTAGAATTTGACATAACTGTTAATTAGCTCAATTGGATATTATAATACCATCTCCAACTCATCTTCTTGGGCGAAAATAAGGCTCCAACTGGTGGTGTAAGCTGGGGAAGGAGGTGAGGGAAAAGAATCGAAATGTATAACTTACATTGATGTTTAAGGATTTTTTAAGGACCTAGGGAGAAGACCCTCCAACTTCAATCCTATCGATATCTCGTCTGAAGTCTCATCTCGTACTCTCGAGATCTGAAGCTTGATGTTTTGTTCAGTGTAACTTACCAGAAACATTTACCTGGGATAACCGGGGAATGGTCTTCTCAGGGCTTGTTCATACCTAAACCTTAACCGACTCTCACATTGCCATAAATGAAATTATTGTCAATAATTTGAATATCCACTCCAATATAGCACTGGATTATATAGATGGCACTGTTGATGATTTGGACAAGTTTTGGGTGAAAATTAGATTTGTGATTTCTATTTGAAATTATCCTCAGTCTACACAAAACCAGGTGAACACCTTTTAATGAGGTTTATAGGTGTATAGTTCATCTTTCACTACCTTGGTCTGAATCATCAATGTATGGCGCCATCTATCAAGTTCCTGATGATATTCTTTCTCCATATGTTCATATGCGATTCTCTCACTAAAGTTGGTACCCTGTGGCACATCTGGCACAGCTGGTTTAGAATTATGATAATGTTCAAACCAATCATTGAACGAGTCATGTGCATCCTGTAGAGAATAAAATTCATGATGTTATAAAATAAAATGCAAAGTACATATACAGACATATAGCTGAGTGTTTCAAAGTGAATTCATAAAGGACGATTCTCGGTTTGGAGAACAGTCTCCTGGGCTAAAAAAAATTTTCATGAAAAATATAGAAATATTACCCAAATTAAACTATGAATATTCAAAAGAGGACATTTAAATCTACAAGATGTAAAAATAACAAATTGGTCTGAAGCAGGGATAATGCTCAATTAGACTGATTCAATAAAATACAAGTCTTGATTTTGGGGAAAGAAGTTCATCAGTGTACTCCGCTAATATTTTTTTGCGAAAAATCTAAAAATATTACCCAAATTAAATTATGACTATTCAAAAGAAGACATGCAAATCTATATTATGTAAAAAAATCAAATTTGTCCGAAGCAGGGATAATGCTCATTTAGATTGAAGAACTTCGTTCTCCAAACCGAGAATCGTCCTTTACCTTCACGTATGGTCAAATCACATACTACTTTATTTCTAAAGATGTAGAATAGGGAGGTGATGTATATTTCTTTAATATCAAACTCTTAACCTATACAAAACAGACAAGGATATCTATTTTAGTCAAAGCACATACCAGGTATGCCTGAGTGCAGAGGTATTCTCTTATTGCATTTTCCTCCCTAGGTGGCAGCTCTGTAGAATCCGTCTGCATCTTCCAATTGCGATAAATGACATCAATAGAGTTTGCAGGAATTTTGTTAAAAACATCTCTGGCTGCTGAATGTTTCTTCAAAGCTGAAAATGAATCCATAACCTTGATTAGCAAAGTAGTTCTGAGATAGTGTGCAGTTATCATATCCTTATTACACAATAATATATGGGACAGGGCATTAACATGCAAAATGTCACCACCTGCCATTTGTTACCGATGCTGATATGATTATCAACCACCAGACACCATCCACAAAAAAGTTGGACACTATACCAATATGTCACCAAGTGACGTGAATAAAACTGAAATTCAACATTAAAAATAAATATTTTTGGTTTGCATTAAAGAGCACATTGGTTGAGTAATTGTAAAAATTGCTTATAACTTTTCAGTTTGACAAAAAAGAGATTTTCTACCTAGGAATGTTCTCATGACTGCATTCGCTTGCCTCAAGGCCTCAGCTCTCTGTGACGCATCAAACACCAGCCAATCAATTGCTTCAATCTTCTGACGATCTTCCTAAAATACATAACAAAACAGATTAATACCATTATTGTATAACATAGATTTTTATAGTAACAGACACAGTTAAAGACATCCATAATAATGTGAATGTACTATAAAAGTGGAACTCTTATACAAAGAGGGCATAAATCAACAATGTGAAATGGACTTTCAACTGAATGCAAGGTTAAGTTCAACTTAGCGACTGTGTCCAACATGTAATAAATACTCAAAACAGTGCTGTGTATTTACTGTACTTCTACTTAATTTAGTGCTACTTATTTTGGCAGATTTGCTGTTTTGAACTTTCAATTTGGCGGACTTGCAATAATACAATATACTAATGGATTTACATGCAGAGATACTAGAATTCTGCGCTACAAAATTCTGCAAGCCAAAATATGAAATTCTGTAAAAATTTGGCATTTTATCGTGGCATTTTTCACAGTATTTTTTTTTTGAAATAGTGTGAAAATCAAAATTAAACCGCCATATTTTCATATATTGGCAAGGAGCAATAAAAAACGAGTATCTAGTCTTAACATATTTCGTGACTCATATTAGGTGTTCCTTACAAATTGGGTTGAGACAGGTTGAAAAAATCCGATTCAGGTCAGCAAAATGACGTTTCATGTTATGACACCAATTCGGGTTGCGTGAATGCAATTTTTCAGATTGTTTGTTGAATGTCATAGCAAGGTTTCTAAGGATCAATGAAGGCTTTGGAGATTGTATCTTGTAACTAAGTGATAACTTCCAGTAAATATGACGGATATTAAGATACTTTTTTGCATCTAAATCATGAAATCAATTGGCAAAAGACAGATAAGAGGGGTCTGGTGAACCAGAATGATTGATCATTTTATGCAATAGTCAGGCATTGTAATCTCATTCTAAAGTGCAAATGTAAATATAGATGGCATGTGTAAAGACTGATTCACTGATATAAGATTCAAAAGGTGACAGGGTGATGCAGTTCCTTATTACAAATGAAAAACTAAAATAAAATAAGAATCGCTGCACATTTTGATATAAATGGGCCGGTTATATTCTATTATTTCACTAAAATAAGTACAACAATGCTAGGTTAGCTTTCAGTTCAATTTATGTTCTAAAAGCATGAATTCCACGATAATTCCGCGAAAATCAACAGAAATTCAATATTCTGCAAATTTTTGCAAAAATAAAAATTCTGCAATTTTTTTGCTACGGAGCGTAAAAACGGAATTCTAGTATCTCTGTACATGTTACTTAAATCACCTTGGAATTTTGCGGCTACTTAATTTGGAGGACTTTAACAATTTGGCGAATCCACCAAATTAAGTAGAAGTACAGTAATCAAAGCATATTTCGATGCATCAATTCAACCTACTTGAGAAGTAGCAGCCCCAAGAGCAGACTCTGAATCTATAGTGAACTCCGCCATGTCCCTATTACGTATGTTCTCAACTACCATCTTGGTTATACTAGCTATATCTAGACCTGCATCCTCGGCATATCCAAGACACACTGGTCTCTCTTCCTTGTCGGTGATTCCTGGATTACAAACAATAATCGTATATACCTACCATATACTGTAAAACCTGTCTTAGTAAACACCTCTCTCTAGTGAACACCTGTGTTTAGTGAACACCACTTCAAGACACATTTTAAATTGACTCCTGTGTAAAATCTCTGTAGTGAACACCTATCTATCTCTTTGTAGCGAACACTTACCTACAATGAACACTTTTTGTGGCTCTATAGGTGTGCACTATATACAGGTTTTACTATATATGGTATATTTTATTTGTAGTCTTATAGGGACCATGTCTGATCAAACACACAAATTGATTGGTTCCTTCAGATATGAGAATGGAACAAGAATGCCAATCAAAACTGTAAAATGAGATATAAACATGTACGTCCTAGGTATCAATCATTTATTTATTCAAGGTCAGGGATTTTATTTTTTACAAATTCAATTAATAATGGCATTAAAAATGTACATATGTACATAACTAAAGACATACCTTCTAGAAACCTAGCGTACCAGCGGATCTGTAGGTTCTCAGGTAAGGTAGATACATAGGTGGCAATTAATTGTTTGTGGCCATCCTGTATGAGATCTTGAACATATGCTTCCAGTATACCTACACACAACTCAGTCTGAAACAAATGGACAATATAACTAAAGCTTAAGGGCAGCATATTGAAACCTTGGCCCAAAAGCCAAAGGGCCAAGATTTCACTATATATGTTGCCTGCTGAAATGAGGTTATTACTATTGACCAATTGAACAACCTCGGATAAAGACCACTATGGCTTGCAACTATTGCTGAGGTTAATATTTAGAGGTTATGTCACTATCGTGGCATATATGAACACTTTTTGTGTCATAGGTCAGAGGTCACAGTGATATATGACCCGACCTTGGGAGGGACATTGATCTCTGAGAGCCGAGGGCATATATGCCACGATAGTGACATAAACGATTTATAACATACCTATGATGATGTAGACTGGTCAGAGAGTACCGTTTTTTTATAGAATTGACAAACAAATGGTTTGAAAATGGCGCAGTTTTATCTTCTATTGATGGTTATGACGTCAGCGCCTTGACCAATTAGAAAGTTAGCGGGCGCGGGCTTTTCAAAACTTATATTGGCCCTCTGTCTTGTGTACACTTTGCACTATACATCATCATAGGTATGTTATAAAGTAAAATATAAGCCTTCTAAACTAGTACTAATACCCTGAGAACAGGCCTTGCAAGATGGTGATAACAGGTATATTTAATTGCTCTTCATTTGCTGATATTTTAATGATGGCTTTGTGAACATCTTAAAACTTACACCAACAGAGGATGTTATACAACTATGGGATATGATTTCACAGTTTCAGGGGATTGACGATTGAAAACAATTTCTGTAGAAATTTAGTGAGGCAAATGCCTCTCTTGCCTCATACCTAGCCTACATGGGAAGTGGGAGTTCAGAGAAGGTTATCATCAATCAGTACAAACATCACAATGTGTTTCAAATTAAACAAACAAGTTATTAAAAATGCTATACGAAATCACAACAAGGTGTCTTACCTTTGTTTCCATGGCTATACTCCTGAAGAACAAGACTAGATGTGCCATAAAGCGAACTAAATGGCGATTTAATCTGCTCTCCTCGTGTAACCATATATGGAATTGCTCAATCATACCATCTATATCCTCCAGGATTATGAATTTTTGTATGATGTGAAACTTGTCGGCACACTCATCTCGTACTTTCTACAAATCAATCACACTGTTTTAATTTTACAAATTCTAAAATATGTTCACATTCAGTGCCATTTGGATTGCTATTGCCATGTACGTGTAGTTACAAAGCTTTTGGCATCTCTAGCCATTCTTTATTTCCCATTGCACATTTGGTGTAAGAAGCTTACAACTAAAAATGTCACAACACAATATTTCAGTATAATATAGCCATCTCCTAATTTTTAACATTAGATGGCAATATTGGATTTTCTGAAGCACAAATAAGTTATATGATACTTGTAACTCTACTAAAATATCTTTGGAGTGCAATATAGCCATTCTTTGAAAAGATCTCAAATTAATGCCATTCATAAGAGTATAATAGAGTCATACTTCAGAGAGATCTCAAAACTTCTAGTTTTCTTGACTCCTTACTCATATTCATAAATACAAAGACCATTCATCCACTTGTATTTTGCTATTTCCAAATGGACTGACTGAGTGACTGATGGACAGACAGACAGATGAATGGATGGACAGAGGGCTTCACTATATCACCTGTAACAAACTTTGTTCGTTGGGATAATAATTGAACAGTTTTGTGTGAAAAACTAGACTGGTATAATTTTCAAATTTAAATCAGCCATAACTTGCTAAATTGCAACTTCTGTATACCTATTTCACTTTGAGTATATGGGATTGGGGTATACAACACAAAACTACTGAATATCAGACTTACATCATTTGCTGTGGATTGTATCTCCATGAACACAGACTCGGGGGTTAACCTAGAAATATACCAACAAAAGAAAAATTTCAATATACACAATATAACACATCAATATGTACTTTAAATAAGTTGAATATGTACCCAAATGTTTCAGTACAGAGAAGTAAACCTGGAGGACTGGAGATTTTCTTGTAGACTACTGGCATGACATAAAATCTCCTTATATGTTAGTGCTTGAGGAAGCTTCAAAAACCTTATAATTTTTTAAATTCATTTTATTTAAGATATTATAAAATAACATCGTTTAGTTTTAAAATACAAATTATAAGTTAATGACAGAGAGGAAGGGAGACAGGGAAGTACCATATTCACTTAATGTTACACAAGTATACAATAAGTTAACATATAACTCACACTTTATCAGCATATCCTCTAGGTAATGCATGTAGTTTCCTATCTAGTGTAGAGTTGAGGCGAATCTCTTGTTCAACCTGGTTGTCAACCATAGTTTTATAATAGGCCCACAGATAGTCCTTCCAAGACTCACATGCTGGCAGAATATGCTTCAAGTTTCCACTTAGTGATGCATAGATAGCCTTCTCATATATACTGAAGCTCTCCTGAAATTATGATGTACAACTGAAAGGTGGCTTTATCATGATGATGCATGATTACAGCTTCACAATAAACTACAAACTTTGATTGACTTTATATGTTACTCAGCATTCTCCCCTAAAATATCCAATCTCTGTGATTTTCAAGTTCTCCGTTGGATGAAAATTGAATTTCAACTGAGTGTTGGTAATTGTGTAATTCTTCAATTCCTGCATGGCCAGTTAAATGCTGTTAGGGAGACACTGAAACACATCCTCTGGTTACCTAAATGAACAGTGACCTTACCTCCTCTGCCATTCTCCAGCACACAGCCTTCCAAACATCTCTATATGGGTTTCCCTCTACACCAATCATCTCTCCCCCTTCCCCCAGTTTCTCATAGTTAGGATCATTATGCAATCTCCAGCCCTCCAGTGTAGCCGCCCTCCAGTCCTGGCCACATTTAGAACACAATCTCTTGGCCTCCTCAATCTGGCCAGCCATTAAACATGTGAACATGTTCTTTAATAAACGCAGCTCGTCTTCACGGTCCAGATCAGCTATTGGACGTTTTTGTCTGATGGGAGCATCTGGGTCCTGCAATGTGGCAATTTTCATATTCATATAGCTACAATAAGAACATTCTCATACTTATAATATCAGAGAGCATCAGGATTCTTAACTACATGCAAATGTCACATTATATACACATAACTCTCAAAGCATTGTTATTGTCACATTCTTTGCCATTTCATATCTGGATCAAGTCTGTTTGCCATTTGACATTTCTGGACCACATCACTTTGCCATTCGTCGTATCTGGATCAAGTCAGTCTGCCATTTGACATATATGGATCACGTCAGTTTGCCATTTGGCATATCTGGATCACTGAATACTAGAATGCTAATAAGACTTACCATTTCATTTACCAAAGGTCTATCAGAGTTTGACAATATACCACCAGACTTCTTTTGTAGACTATGGAGAGTATTCTCCCTGGAAACAAATGTATCATGTGATGTCTTACATTAAACCAATCAAAATACAATCTCCAAAAAACCAATCAAACCAATATTGTGTTTTTCTAATCCCTTTTTGGGATTTTGGCTTTGACCACGGTGCTTATTTGTATATAGTTATCACTTCTTGCTTCAAGACCTCCCCCCACTTGAACAACAACAGTTGTTGTTGAAGTAGATAAAGAGGGGAGGTCCAAGGTCTTGTAGCAATACTAACTTGTAGTCTGTCAAGGAATAAAGATCTACTGAGATTAATAAACAGTGATTAATATTATAAGGAATACTTTTACTCAATGACCAATTGAACTATATACAAATACTACGTTCCTGTTGATCAGTTAATCTTTTTGCATCAAGCACCCCTTGGTTGAGTTTAACTTGTAATCTTTGACCCACTATAGCACCTTCTGTTAAGTTAACCCTTCACTCACCAAGCACCCCCTTGGTCTGTGAAGAATTCAATATTTTCATAGACATCGACCAGTTGTTCTTCAGCATTCTTCTCCAACCAGTCAATCACTAGCTGCAAGAGAGTTAATTCATTCATGGTTTTTGTTGTAATATAATTTTATAATGTCATTTAAAAATAGAGGAAAAACTTAAATTAACAAGTATCACAAGAATGACCACCAACATCTGAACACTGATGGAATAAAATATAGCGAAATGATGCATTAAGGATGAATGCCACAGACCCAATCATTCAGACATATGCACAACAACAAAACATGAGATTTTCATATGGGATCTTAATTTGTGCAAGGTCACGATGTTTGGTAGTAATGATGCCTTCTATAGACACAGAGCTTGTACCTCAGTAATATATCTTACCTGGCTTTGTCGCAGCTGGGCATCTCTCTCATATAAACTTGTCATAATATCTTTCTCACTCCTGTATTTATTCTACAATATAAAGAAACACTGCAATTCCGTCAAATTTGTACATTACTCTATCCAACACATAATTACTAATTTTTAATTGTTTACATGATACCACTAGAGTGCAAATTCAAAATTTGTAAATCATCATTCACGATACCTCCTGCTTTATGCCTCCAATCGAATGTAAGGGAAGTAATCTCCAGCATTGAAATGACTGGATGTTGGAGCCTGACAAAACTTTACATAAGATGTTAACTTGGATACTTTTCTTTAAAAGTAGGATAAAACTAAACCTCCACTTAAGATCACAGAGTGCAGTTTAATGTTATAAGAGAGTTCAGTCGTGCCTACCAATATATCTATAGCCATATCTTCTTCTTCCAGCATCTGACTCTTCAGTCTGTCCTCATACAAGGAGGCCAACAGGCGCCAAGTACATTTCTCCTGGTCGAGTAGTTCTAGCATGTTCAACGTACGAGAGAATCTACAAAGGGAAGAGGCATTTTATGCAACCAAAACTACAAATATTTAGTTTTTCTTCAGGCCTTTTTCTGAAACCATTGGTACAAACTAAATAGTCCTGTTTCAAGACCCCGGGGCCCCATTATTTACTTAAACAACAGACCGGCAGCCTGGGAGGGGGGGTCTACTACAAACTAAACCTGCAATTAGTTATACCTGAGGGATATTCAATTTGAGAGTAATGTTCACATAATAACATACATTGTACTTACTTTTACATATCTGTGTACCTTTTAATGAATAAATACTACGATTATGAGTGATTTCTAACTGTTTTGTTTTCATTTTTATGCAATTGTATTTATCCTCCATTATCGCCCAACAAGGGGCTATTGCACATCGACTCTAAGCATCAATAACGAATTATGGGATGTACCATTTTTAGTTGCGGGAAAATTTAAAGTAGTCGAATTGGCCGTGGTCGTAGGTTTAGGCCTTCCAACTTGAGTAGCATTTTTTCACCAGTCCCACCACTAGAATTTTGATTCAAGAAAGTCAGTTTCCTGAGAATATTACCAGAGCTACATTAAAGCGTCAAAACATTGAAATTCAGGAGTATAATCTTTTTCAGACACAACTGAAATTCAGTAGAAGTGATCTACGATTTTTCTAGAAACAGACCCCTGCAGGACTTACTTATTCTGTCCAGGAGTGGTCCTCTTGACAAGTTTCTTGAGTAGAAGGACCTGTTCAGAGCAGGAAGACTCGTAGCCAGACACCAGGTCAAAGATATGATCAGGGGAATTATGCTCTTTTAAATTCTGAAGGAAGTCTCCAAATAAACTCTGCGAAGCTGAAACAAAAGAAAGTTTAAAATACTCAAGTGATCTTTCAGATCTGCGCACTGTTGAAATTTTTTTTAAAAATGACATGCTTCTCTGTTGAGAATCTGTTTGCACCCACTTACATTCCTGAAATATTGAGATATTTTGACTAATAAACGGGTAAAATATGGAGTTTGCACTGTACAAGTACTTGTAATTAAAATATGTAAAACTGAAACTTTTTGAAAAGGTAATAGCATTTTGTTAAAAAATAATCAAAATTATTACTTGAATGGTACGAAAATACTGTGAAAATAATGGAGGAAACTATTAAACCCTTGAATGACTGTACGACAATCAAAAAATTGTAAGTCAGGATGACTGTGGGTTAGACAAGACAATTTTGGTACTCTAATGTTTTTACAATGGAGGTGTCAGTTTACGTTGACTTATTTATTAAATACGAACTGCCAGATTCCAACTTCAGTGTTAATTTGTTTATTTTATGACAACTAATATTTAACAAATTGATTTAGTGTACTATCTGGGGCTGAAAACCACCAATGTTGCTGAATGTATATAGGTATTTTTGAAATAAAATGGCATAATCGTAAATTATGCAGTATATTTATCTATTCAAAAAATGTTCCAAGATGGTATTGGATCTAACTGATTGCCACTAAAAATGGTTGAATATTCACCTAATTATCCATATCCTCCCTCTTTTAAAAAAATACTTCAATGAATTTTTGAACATTTTTGTTCTAGAGCTGTTCTAGAGCTGCATCATTTGATCCATCCAAAGAAAGAAATTGTAAACTGGTTTTGTAACCATTTTACCTTACGATGTGGTTGCAAGTGGTTTTCTAGGAATGGTTTTCCTCATTTGCAAAGGTACAAAAAATGGGTCAAAGAATAATTTGAAATAGATAATCTTAGTAAATAAAAGACAGATACCTGATAGTCCAGGATCCTCCTCTAACAATAAGGCTACATTTGTAGTGGTCACATCTGCTCTGCCAGGGGTGGTGCTCTGAATTAATAGAAGATTAAAGTTTTTACTATGCAAATTACTGAACATGAGGATAATGATAGAACTTGCACATTTTGTAACATGAATCAGGTTAAATATGAATTAATTTTTGTTTTAATGCAGATCTTTTAATTAAGACATGTATAATATAATTTCACAAATGTTTGGTTAATCCACAAATAAGGTAAGTTAACACTAACACTTCATATCTAATACCAGAAATGAGACAACCACTGGTCCCCACCTGGTTATCAAGACGTGATGTCTTTATAACAAAATGGTGTCTATATTATAATTTCTACCATTGTTTGCCTTATACTACCCAGCATGCCTCAAAACTAATTACGACTAGTTTTTCATTTCACCAGCCCACAAAACTGAGGAGAACATCACCTTTTTTCTTTGTTTGGATTCAATAGAATTTTATCAACATATTGATTTGATTTTAAGTATACTAATTGTCTTTGTACAGTAAAAATGTGTAGATGGCCAACTTGAAGTTCCATATGATTGTATCATCCCTATAAGTACTTACATCTGCCCTGAAACTCCTCATAGGAGTGGCAGTTGTCATGTCAACTGAGACATCCATCCCACGTCCCATGGGAGGCCCTAGTAATCCTGACACATCAAACTTAGAGGCTGAGGGAAGCTGCTTCGGGGTATCTAGTAAAAACATGCAAGTTTCAATAAAGGTAAACAAGGCATTAACATGCAAAATGTCACCACATTTTAAGTTAATGTAAATTGTTACAGACACTGAACACAAACTGTTACCGGCAACGAAATCTGTCAACGAAAAAGTTGGAGACTACAATATTTCACCACTTCAAGTGAAGCTTTGCAGTATTCTCGGAGTTAAAATGTAAATTGAATGAAAGCAAAAACAGTGTCAAGTTTTTCTGACAAGATACTCTGACTGGTTTAAGGATCAAATCATTTGCTCTGATTTAGAGACAACAAAGATAAGCTCATGTGAGGAGTAGTACAATGTGCATTAACTTACATGAACTGTGCTTAAGAGGTGTCTTAGTACGCAGGGAAGGACCTGGGGTCCCAACTGCTTCATCCAACAGAGCCAAGGCTGTTTACAGTTAAGGGTCATTTGTAGTTTAGATGTTACCGTCATCTTTAAGCAATGTATAATCATAATAGAAAGCATGGACTGATTGATAATTTACTGAATTGATTTTAAAATTACTTCATAATCCCAATGATAGTATAAAATAAGGTGGCCTCAATGGTTCTGGGTAGAATATGTCAAACAATATAGCACTTTTTCAAAGGGCAATAAAATTAGTGCCATGGTACTTGGCCCACATTGAGAGCAACTTTCAACAAAAGGGTCAATCATTTTGAGCTTTAAGAAAAATAATACTTCTAACCTAGAAATTGGGCTTTTGAGAGATATTGTGAAACCACCACAGGACATAGAATTACTTTAATAGTATAATGATCAAGGTAAAAAAACACAAATCACTACGCAGTTCCACTTGTCAATGTCATTTCAAAGAAGTACCCTGCCTAAATTGTCAGACATTGGAGCAAAATAAGGACATATAATGAGGTGATTTCCAAGTTAAAATAGACATTATAGACATTTGTAAAGTATATTCAGCAATATTAATGTTTTGATAAGTTGCACTTTTAAAGACTCAAAAGTTAATGGATTTTTGCTTTGTATATAAGAAAGTCCCAGTCATAACTATAATCATTGCCAAGAATTACCAAGACATACAAACATAATCATTTAAACATTGCATAGTTTCACATCAGCCAACTCTATATATCATATGTCACATATATCCTAAGAATTATTCTTTAGTTTGATTGGTTGAAGAACTTTTAAATTGTTGTGATTTATCACACAAGTTCAATGATTGATAAAACAACTGTTACAGCACAGCTATAAACTGGCATGATTCCATAAAATAAAATCAAAAAGGATGCAATAATTATAAACAGTGTGCAAAATCACAATAAATGACATTGAATGAAGGGTTGTATTAAGTGAAACGAAATAATTATCCTGACATGTGGAGTCAACTATGACTTAGTGGAGAGGTTAAGCTACTGTATAAAATCCAAAACGCAACTTAAACGTATCAATCGGCCCTATACAAATACATGTAGAGTTCACACATAAATAGCCGTTCAGCTCTAGTGTTTGTTTAGACTACACCATAGCTTGTAATGATTACATAGTATCCCATTGATGAAGTTCAATAGCTGGTTTTCTAATACATATTTTCAACGAGCTCGTTTCGTAAGATTATTGGAGTTAAATCATGCGTAACATACATCATCTTCTTTAGAAAGAATTATACTCTGCATCGAAATCAAAATTAGTATTCAAAGTATTCAACAGACATGAGTATAATGATTCCCGTTGATAGCAACGTGAAATTTCTAAATCTCCCGTTCTAAACACGCAACTTTGAAGTTGAACGGGTATCTGAAGTAGACTAAAGCGATACAATCCTATGTTGATTCAATGTACTTTGCGTTTACGTATACGTTTTGAAAAACCGTATTTGCTTAACCTCTCCAGTCACACAAACACACACTGACACAGTTTACACATATTTGTTAGCATTAAATATACACTGTAAGGGGACTTATCAACTGTAGGATAATTTTTATCAAGTGAAGTTATTTCAAGTGATTTGATTTATTGCTACCCTGTGCACAGTCTAGTTATAAACTACCCTCTGCTTAGTATAGACTATATTACAGTTTAGCAGACCTGCCCCAAAGATTGGTGCCTGTGACAGCCCAGGTAAAAAATCATTTCAAATCTACCACATGGAAGGAACGCGTGCTAAATAAGTGCTCATTAACTATGCGGTGATGTCATAGCAAATGACCATATAGAAAGTTGTCCATATTTCGACGACAAACTTTGAATGGCTCGGTGAGATCAGAGATTTATTGTAAACTGAAAGAGTGAAGACAAAGCTCTCTTTTAAGAAGTGAATGTAAAGGGTAATCTATTGCAGTTATGTTAAGTGTCAGCTGCACTACATACTACATGAGTGGTTCATTATCAACTTTGTGTCATACATTCGCAGTATAGAGTACAATAGATTATCTAAATATATTTAAGATCCAAGTCTACATGTAAGTTAACATAAGCAGTCTTCACCTGCAAACAAAACTACAGCATGGCAGCCATAGACCTGGGTGCAGTTACCAAAGAAGTGCAGTCAGTCGTGGATAGATATGGGAAGGAGTACGACTTTATAGCTGAGGGGTATGAAACACTGGCCAAGTGCTGGGCAGGAGATGGGCAAACCACACAGGCAGGACTAACAATGGTTAGGGATATATCCATTTTTCTCAGACTTAAAGGACTTGCTGGATTTCTACAGGCCATCAAAGATGATCCGAAAATACTGGAGGTAATTATTTTCTGTACATACCATTTGTCAGAAGATGATATTTAACTTTTCCTAATTCAAGCTGCAGCTTATTTTCAGGTGCACATGGTACAACTCATTCTATGCACACTCTACATCTTTAGTTTTGCTCAAAGAGTGCATAAATATACCTGGATTAAGATAAATCTGTTTGTTTAGAAATTTTAATGGCTTCTTAATTCATTCCATACTCGGTCAACATCTATTAGCGTTGCACAAACAGTACACATGTATACCTAGAGTATTAGTTATTTTCTATAAAGTATGAAAATTCAGAAAATTAAGTGAACTACTTTTTAAAAGTGCCAAAATGTACGACATTGATTTTTTTCCTTTTTACATATCTAAAATATTCATAACCCTCAAATAATATTAATGAAATGTTTATCCACTCCTTGTGCAAATCTTAACAACGCATAACATGGCAAAATGTCACAAAACGTATAAGTATGGCAAATGTACAAAGTCGTAACAAATTGTCTATATGTATTGCCAATAAAAATTTCAAGTTCATGTAAACAAGTACTTATTAAATAAACTAGAAAATGGCAACTCCACAGACTAGCAAATATCAATGAATAATAATTTTATATTCTGGATCTGTACATGTAACAATTTGATATTTACAACCTATTCTACGCTTCATGATTTCCAGATACAGACAGATATTTAAGCTAATCAGAATTTCTACCAATTTAAGCATTTGGGGGGGATTTCCCCAAAAAATCCCATAGTTTCTAAAGCAGCAGTAATCTTGAAAAGAATTTTTTGGGCAAAACTTTTTACCAATATCCATCTTTCCAAAAATATGAAGAAAATCTGTATACTAGTTTTAGAGTTATTATCCGGAAAGACTGTCTGACTGACTGGTGGATGGTCATAAGCCCACTTATTTGTTGCCATGGTAACATATATTGGCAGAAATGTGTTGGAAAATTTTACAAATGCATAAACAGGAGACAATTCAGTATATATTTAACTTTTAAAAGGAGGTCAGTGAATTTTCTTCATGTTCTAAAATTGTAGAAAAGCTACGTTTTTTTCAAGCTGTCTTAATTGCCAGCTTTAGTAGAGCAATTTTCTAGATTGGGTGCCTTCATTCAATCTCCCGGAGACCTTCTTGTACCCTATACTCACTGGGGTTTGCATCAGGGCTATTAGCTTGGCAGTCATTAGGCCGTATCAGTTCAGGAACATTTTGCAAATTATGGTTATTTCCATGGCTCACCACATGTTTAAGTGAGACGCTGGTGACATATTTTATTCATGCAAAAGTGTATAATTCATGATCCATGGCTAGATAACAACCTCAAGTTTCATTTGGTATGCAAATTATGATTTTGTATCAAACTTTAAAAGTTATAGCATTTTGAAAAAAGTGGCGTTTTTTTGGCCCACCCTGTATATATAATCTATACATGTATCTCAAAATTACTTTGGACTCCAATTACGAAGCCATCAAAATTTCTGAGCATAAAGAATCACCATTATAAATACATGCACTCCTCTTGACTGCTAAAAGGGTTAAAAAGTTAGAAAGTACAACTAATATATTGTGATATATAATTAGACTCCAGATGAAATCTGGAGTCTATTGTTTTCGTCAGTTTTCTTCTTCTTCTTCTTCTTCTTCTTATTCTTTTTCTAAACCAGTTTTCTCAATAACCATAAGGTCTTCAGTAAAGTCAATCATTTGGTCAATTTAGGTCCAGTATCAAGTTCCTCGGAAATTGGGTCAAATTTTTATCTAGGTCAAAGGTCAAGAACTAGGTCAAATCCAGTACTTTGTCACTTTTTTCGATTTTCTCGGTCGTCCTTCAATATTTTCGATCCGGGTTTTTTTCATTGTGTTCCTCATAAAAAAGTAGGAAATCTAGGCTGATTTAGTTTTTTGATATCTCAAACCGATTTCGAGATATCAGTGTCCGAAAACGAGGTCCAAAAAAAAGTTCTCCGAATCAAATGTCTAGGATATTAGTCTTATAGGATATTTTCTCAGGATTCCGAATCTGAAAACCAAATTCGGATCGGACTTCCGGTTCGGAAGTTATGGCGTTTTGAAAGCTCAAAAATCGCTCAATTTGGTGCCCATGTTAAGTCAATGGGAAAAAAAAAAATTTTTGAAGTGAAAAATACGAAATATAGACTGAGTTCAGCTAAATATAATGAAAGCTTTTGAAAGGATGGGACCTCAAAAGCCATCTAGCTTCAAAATTTGGACAGCAAAATGCCTAGGGCAAAATGCCTAGGTCAAAATCTAGGTCAAATTCAAAGTTTTTCCTTATTTTTGCTATTTTGACACTACAGATTAATTATATTCTTCGAAATTTTGTATACATGTAGCCAAGAGTGCGCTAATAGTGTTAGCCTTTTGCCGTCAGAAAGTATTTTGCCCCACTTTTGAGATATGGTGTCCGAAAAGTAGGTCAAAATAAAAAAATCTCCAAATTTAACGTGTGAGTTATGAACTAAGTATAGAATTTTCTCAGGAATCCGAATCTGCAAACCAAATTTCGATCCGACTTCCAGTTCGGAAGTTATGACATTTTGAAAGCTCAAAAATCGCTAAATTTGGTGCCCCGTGTTATGTCAATGTAAAATACGAAATACGAGATATAGACTAAGTACAGCTTAAAATAATGAAAGCCTATGAAAGAAGGGAACCTCGAAGGCTACCTAACTTAAAAATTTGGACACCAAAATCCCTAGGTCAAAATCTAGGTCAAATTCATAGTTTATCCTTATTTTTGCGATTCTGACACTACACTTTAATTATATTCCTCGAAATTGTGTATACATGTAGCCAAAAGTGTGCTTATAGCGTAAGCCTTTTGCCGTCAGAAAGTATTTTGACCCACTTTTGAGATATGGTGTCCGAAAAGTAGGTCAAAATAAAAAGTTCTCCAAATTTAACGTTTGAGTTATGAATTAACAATAGAATTTTCTCAGAAATCCGAATCTGCAAACTAAATTTCGATTCGACTTCCGGTTCCGAAGTTATGGCGTGTCCGAAAAGTAGGTCAAAATAAAAATTCGCCAAATTTAACGTATGAGTTATAAATTAGGGGTAGAATTTTGTCAGGAATCCAAATCTGCAAATCAAATTTCGATCCGACTACCGGTTCGGAAGTTATGGCGTTTTGAAATTTCAAGAAAAATCGATCTGATGGTATCCTGATAGAAAGTCAAGAGTAGAGAAGAAAATATTGAAAAATGCATCCATCCTTCCTTTCTGATCCTATCCTATCCTTCCTATCTACCCTTGCTTCGTATCCTCTCCTTCCTATCCTTTCTATTCTTATATCTTCTTCCTATTCTATCCTATCGTTCCTTCCTATTCTATCCTATCCTTCCTTCCTTCCTTTTTCATCCATCCATCCATCCATCCATCCATCTTTTGCTGGATGACTTAGCTTATTTTGGATAACTTGGCTTATTCTGGATGACTCGGCTAAAAAAAGTCTAGATCTGGAGTCTGAAATTGAACTCGTTCAATTTCCAAAATCTAGTTATATATCCTTCCAATTATCACATAAATGGATATATGTGGGTCCAGAGCAGAGCAAAAATCTATTGTTTGATCACACATTTTTTACAAATTCCAGAGGCAGACATTGACTATTGAAATAAAAATGTAGATTTTTTTTAAAAGATGGCCTTCTTATTTCAGGTCCCTATAAAAGATCCTATTTTCATAGCGGGGTTTATGCGTACAGGGTCTACACATCTCCACAACTTGTTAAACGAAGATGAGCATAACTTTTCACCCCCTCTCTGGCAGGTGACGTTCCCTATACCAATTCCAGAAAGCAAAGACATTCCATCTGATGATCCAAGATTTCTTAGAACAGCACAATTCTCTGGTGAGACTTACAATTAATACCATTACTCTTTTTATCTTATTTTGTTTTTATTTACTACTGGTTTAGAACAGGGGGGGGGGAGATTTCCCAAAGATGACCTATCATATTGGCACGTTCGAAAACAAATTTTATAACAAGAACACAAATGTGTACAATATGTCCCCACCAATGGGTGATCCCTTTAAATGATTATCCTGAAAATGAGTAGACAAGACTTTACCGTTACAATTTTGGGACGGAAAATGCAAATGGCCACCTTAAAATTTACCCAGATTGCCAAAAAATTATTAGTTTTTGCTGATTTCTTTTTACAAAACTAGATAACGGCAACTCCGCGGAGTAGCAAATCCCAACGAACAAAATATCAATTACCAATTCCAATCAATTATACTCATTACTTTGGTTAAAATTGAAATAGTTAGATTTTAGAATTGCGAATTCCTGCAAAGCAGACATTTTGAATTTTCTGAGATACAAATCTGAAAAATAATACCATAATTGTGATCTACTCCAAAATTCCTTCAATTTGAGTATAATATAGCCATACTTTGAAGGGATCGAAAAATTATTGCGAAATCGTACATTAGACGGCCATTTTGAATTTTACGAGGCTCTAATCAGAAAAAAGATACAATATTTGCAATCTACTCTTAATTGCCTTTCATTTGAGTATAATAAAGCTATACTTCAGAAAGATCTAAAAATTAGCGAAAATTTCTGTTTTCCTGTTCCCCCATACACGGCCCCTGGGGGTCAGGATGAAAAACACGGAATATATGTGAAATAGATAAATGTTGTGAATATACTACCAAAATTTCAAATAATAATATTAATTACTTTGGTTAAGAATGAAAAATTTATGATTTTTGCGAAAAAGTCCCGTCATTTTTAAAGTGGCACATTTTCTGAAAAATTCAAAAGATTCTGTTCAGTGACCTTCCCTTGCTCCTACTTTTAGCTTTTTTTCAGTCACACTTTCAAAGGGCTAAAAAGGTTATTTCATCATGTTTAGGGTCATTCTGACTATGCACATTGTGATCCTGGCCATGTAAATGATATGGTGAAATAGTTAAATTGACTGGAGGTCAAACCAGAACTCTGTTATCTTTGTTCAAAAAATGTCTAAAAATGCAAAATTTTTTGTCACTTCCTGTTTCGTAATTTCCTGTTAACTTCCATGGCACCTTAACAGCTAATATGCATTACTCAATTCTAAAGAACAACAAGAATCAACTCTAAAAGTATTGATCAAATGATTCAAAATCATGAGATATCAACTCAATTAATTAACTAACAACTGAGTAACAATGCTAGCAGTCTTGAAAAATAAATACTTTCCTTGATATTTCTAGAGCGATTTAACAGTATACCAGGTTGGCTACAGAAACACCAGGCGTTCACACCTTCTGCCTTGGAAGAGTGTTTCCCACACATTGGAAAGACTGGCCTTATGAAGGAGATGCTTTTTGCTGGTCAGAACATGGATGATTACATCACCTGGTATGAGAACATTAATGAGGAGAAAATGACCAAGATTTATCAGTACTACAAGATAGAACTCCAACTACTGGCCTATAAACAAGGTAAAATGGCATTAACACAAAATACTTGGGTGATATTCCGATAATATTAGGCCCATGTTAAACTTCGAAAAATCTTGAAGTTATGAACTTTCATTTGCACATATTATTAATACCTTGCCAGGCCTTTCTAGAGGTATAAGTGCTAGTTCAGAAGCTAAGGCTTTTATTTTGGTATATTGACCCAAGCAATATGTGACATCATAGTGGCGGGATGTAGTGGAGGGCCAAAATTGAAATGCCAATGTTCCCTTGGAAATGAGATATCGTTTAGTGTGTATAATTTGCCGGTCATTAAATGCATTCTTGACCGGCTATATTGACAGCCACTATGACGTCACATATTGCTCAGGTCGATATAGTAAAATGAATGCCTTCTAAACTAGCACTAAAACCCCTAGAAATGGCCCGGCAAGGTGGTAATAATATTGGACCTTGGGCCTATAATGATGCCCAATGAAATGACGTTATTGTATTATTTGTACATGTGTAGAGTTTCCTCGATTTTAACATTACTTGCTATTTATCATTATCAAAACTGATACGACTGATATTCATCCGGACTTTCAATACAGCTCATATCAGACATAAATTGCTTGAGCGCTCACGGTATTACCTAGTAAAAAATGCAACCTTTATCAGACTTTGTTCCTACATATAATGTGATATTCTGAGCAAATAGTAAAATATTTTAGAAGAGAACCATGTATATTTTTAAATTTGACCTTTACCTCAGAAATACGACCTTGACCTAAATTTTCAAACATTTTTGAAACAGATATATGTATCCATGTAAATAAATATAAACGAGTACAACAGTGTATGGAGAAATTCCAAAATACACTATTCAAGTTCATTTCCAGAAAATCCCAACGAACACGAAATCATCAATCTGTACAGTCACAATGGAATATTTACCATCTACTCTTACCGTCAATAAATATTTTAAATCATTGTAGTATCATGTAACCATACTTTCAAGATAACTCTAAGTAATGGCGAATTTCTGCTCTAGTCAGCCATTTTGTATTTTCAGAGGCGCAAATCAGAAAAACAATGCCATAATTGTGATCTACTCTGAAATTCCTTCAATTTGAGTATAATATAGCCATACTTTTAAGAGATCAGAAAACAATTGCAAAATCCCGCATTAGGCGGCCATTTTGAATTTTTTGAGACCCGAATCAGAAAAACGTTACAATATTTGCAATCTACTCTAAATTGCCTTTCATTTGAGTATAATAAAGCTATACTTCAAAAACATCTCAAAATTAACGCAAATTCCTGTTTTCCCGATCCCCCATTTACGGCCCCTGGGGGTCAGGGTGAAAAACCCGGGATATATGTGAAATAGATAGATGTTGTAAATATACTACCAAAATTTAAAATAATAATATTTATTATTTTGGTTTAAAATGAAGAACATAGATTTTTGCGAAAAATTCCCGCCATTTCTAAACTGGCGGCCATCTTGAAAAAACTGTTGCGTATAACTGTTCACCAATATACATCTTTCCACCAAATATGAAAAAAATCTGTCAACTAGTATTCGAGTTATCTTCCGGACAGACGGACTGACTGACGGACTGACGGACTGATAGACTGACGGACTGACGGACGGAGGGCTTCACTATATCCCTACAGAACTTCGTTCGTTGGGATAATTATTCATTGCTGTGAGAAAACAGCAAATCCATTGTTATGTAGTATCTATGGAAATCATGATGTCATAGAGGACAGACAATAGACTTCAGGAATAACTAACTGTATGAATTCTTATGGTAATCTTTTTTTATAATTTTCAGCAATTGGAAAGACATACATTCGCAAAGATTCTCAGCATATGGGAAATATGGCTGTCCTGAAAAATGTCTTCCCTGGGGCGAAAATAATCCACACAATTCGGGATCCCATAGAGGTGATGGGGTCGGTATGTTCCACCATGCATACAGTCACTATGGGTTACTACAAACCGGAAGATATCAGCCTTACAGCGCTAGGTCAAAGAATGTTGCGTCATGCCTCTTATGTCATTAACAAATATATGGACTATCGCATGGCTACAGATGGACCAGGAAAGACCCAGGCTGATCTTGTAGATGTTTACTATCCAGACATGGTAGATGATTCAAAAGGTACAATGAGGAAAATCTATGACAAGTTTGGATTGGAGCTTACACAGGAAACGTTGCAGAATGTTGAGAAATATGTTGCAAAGAATCCTATTAACAAGCATGGAAAGCATAATTATAAACTTGCAACTTATGGCTTAACCGAGGATGGTGTGAAAAATGTATTCAAACGCTATATTGATTACTTTAACATTCAGTGCTAAATGTCTAGTTTTAAGAGTTGAACATCACATGACACCTTTTAAAATTATTTTCTGCAATCTGCAACAAATTCACTATACAGGAATAGGTTCATTCTTAAAGTTTCCTTGACAAAGTAGCAGCTACAAAATCCAAGCAGACATACAAACATGATCATTTATTTTCACATCATTTAGTTTCACATCAGCCAACTCCATATATTATATGTCACATATATCCTAAGAATTATTCTTTAGTTTGATTGGTTGAAGAACTTTTAAATTGTAGTGATTTATCACACAAGTTCAATGATTGATAACAACTGTTACAGCACAGCTATAAACTGGCATGATTCCATTAAATCAAATCAAGAAGGATGCAATAATTATAAACAGTGTGCAAAATCACAATAAATGACATTGAATGAAGGGTTGTATAAAGTGAAACGAAATAATTATCCTGACATGACTTTTCACCGATGTCTTGATCTAATCGTGAGTATGGTCACATTAGTACAAGCATCGTACGGTGTCCGCAATCAATTGAATCTGAAAGACATCACACGGGTATCGCAAGGCTATCTGCCGATGGCCGTACGGCACCCGCCAGGACATCGGTCGATCTACAGGCCTCTTGATTTATACTAAATTTTTGTATGACCCAGTATGACTGTTCCACATGGCGTGAATGCAAGATTTGAAAACGAAATACTTCGATGGACAGGACTTCCAGGATAATAATGTTTTCATGCAATAAAAATCAGAAAAAGAAGATCCTCTTTTGAGTAGCCTAAATAGGTTCAATATTTAGAAAAAAAAATGCTGACATGGGGTCCCTATTTATAATTTTTCAAATTGTTTGATTGATATTTTTACTATCATGGGTACTTCAATTGAAAGAAAACATATTCAGTTTTAATAAAAACACTGTATTTATGCCCAGAAAGTACTCATGGTGAAAGATATGAGCGTCTAAAATCACTTGCCATACTGCACGTGGTCTTTTCATCAAAGTGCACCCTGACCTTAATTCATTTTAGATCTTTTATATACACAAATACTATGTCTAACTGTCCATCCGATGCTATTAGCAAAATTCCATATTTCTGCATCTTTCTTTTGTCTGTTCTCGTAAAGAGAATTTGTTGTTGTTGTTTAAAAATATGGCTTCTTCAAAGAACTTGGCAATTTTTTCTTCTATTTCAAGTGGAATACCCTCTTCCCTAGACACATCTAGATCTTCATCATCCACCAGCTCACTAGCATTGTTATTGTCTTTTTCCATCTGTCTTCCCAAGGCCTTCCTCATATGGCCCATTGGCCTTATCCCCTCTATCCTTAGCCTTTGGCATATTAACTGTAATTGAGACAGTGAACTCTCATATTAAAATTGTAACCCTTGAAAATACTGTACTCACAAAAACATTCAGAAGATTTTTTAAATAAATGATTTGTAATGGTATATGCATCAGTGAATATACGCATAAAAATGTATCACTCTATTCAATGTGTATGACAGACATACACGATTAATGTCAATATAAGAACGACTAGATCAACCCACCCACCTACCCAGCCATTCAAATGTGTGTCATTGTTTTACATTAAGCCTAATCGTTCCATTTATGTTAAAAATCTCTGACAGTGTGTAGTAATAATAATTCCTTACCTCATTATCTTTAAAACCTCTATATCACTTTATAAGTAATCATTATTAAGATTTATCAAACAAATCAGCACGCAAAATCCCAAGATGACCGTGCGAAGCCACCAGGCGCCGTAAGATAATCGTACGATGACCAGACGGGACATGGCCGGGTAGGTACCGATGAGTTTGGTTGAGAAAAAATTGCCAAGACATTGGCAACTTTTTTCTCCGGATAAGACTCTGCCGGCACCCGTACGATGTCTAAAAATTGGCCGATAAGTGACAATCATCGCCCGGCGCCTTTACGATGCCCTGCCCCCCGGCCGATTTTGAACAAAATACTCATCGGCCGGGCACGGTAGTAAAATTCTGAGCCTATGTGACCAAGGCATTATCAACTGTAGGATTGATTTTATCAAGTGTAGTTATTTCAAGTTATTTGATTTATTGCTACCCTGCGCGCAGAGTCTAGTTATAAACTAGAAAAACGGCAACTCCACGGAGTAGCAAATCCCACCGAACAAAACATATTATGCTTATTATAGCTAGTGTAAATGTTGAAATGTTTGTGCACTTTGTGATAGAAGCATGAAATTTGGCACAAAGTTAGTTTATACCATTGTGAACTAGGCATCATCATAAAAAATTTGAACCAAATCCGTTCACTGGTATATGAGTTATCAAAGATTACATTTTTTACGAAAATTGGCCGCCATCTTGAAATTCAGCCGCCATCTTGAAAATTATTTCTTGAACAGAGCTACTGTGTCCCTAGGCATAATCATATGAAATTTCAACCAAATCTGTTCACTGGTATTTGAGTTATCAAAGATTGCGTTTTTTACGAAAAATTGCCGCCATTTTGAAATTAAGCGGCCATCTTGAAAATTTTTTGTCAAACATAGCTACTGTGTCCCTAAGCATCATCATATAAAATTTGGTCCAAATACGTTCACTGGTATTTGAGTTATCAAAGATTACGTTTTTTACGAAAAATTGCCGCCATTTTGAAATTAAGCGGCCATCTTGAAAAATTTTTGTCGAACATAGCAACTGTGTCCCTAAGCATCATCATATAAAATTTGAACCAAATTCGTTCACTGGTATTTGAGTTATCAAAGATTACATATTTTTACGAAAAATGTTAAGCTGCCATCTTGAAAATCTCTTTTTGTGCGAAACTCCTTTGTCCCTAGGCATCAGCTTATAAAATTTGAACCAAATCCGTCAACTTGTATTTGAGTAATCAACAATTACATTTTTTACGAAAAATGGCGGCCATTTTGAATTGAGCGGCCGTATTAAAAATTCCTTCTTGAGCAGAGGTCCTACACTCATAAGGCATAAGCCTATAAAATTTGAACCAAATCCGTCAACCGGTATTGGAGTTATCGCCCGGACACACGGACGAACGAACAGATGGACGGACGGCTTCTCTATATCCCCCTCGAACTTCGTTAGGTGGGATAACTACCCTCTGCTTAGTAGAGACTACTCGTTGTTACAGTTTAGCAGCCCTGCCCCAAAGATTGGTGCCTGTGACAGCCCAGGTAATAAATCATTTCAAATCTACCACATGAAAGAAATGCGCGCTAAATAAGTGCTCATTAACTATGCAGTGATGTCATAGCAAATGACCATATAGAAAGTCGTCCATATTTTGACGACGAACTTTGAATGGCTCGGTGAGATCAGAGATTTATTGTAAACTGAAAGAGTGAAGACAAAGCTCTCTTTTAAAAAGTGAATGTAAAGGGTAATCTATTGCAGTTATGTTAAGTGCCAGCTGCACTACATGCTACATAAGCGTTTCATTATCAACTTTGTGTCATACATTCGCAGTATATAGTACAATAGATTATCTAAATATATTTAAGATCCAAGTCTACATGTAAGTTAACATAAGCAGTCTTCACCTGCAAACAAAACTACAGCATGGCAGCCATAGACCTGGGTGCAGTTACCAAAGAAGTGCAGTCAGTCGTGGATAGATATGGGAAGGAGTATGACTTTATAGCTGAGGGGTATGAAATACTGACCAAGTGCTGGGCAGGAGATGGGCAAATCACACAGGCAGGACTAACAATGGTTAGGGATATATCCATTTTTCTCACACTACAAGGACTTGTGGGATTTCTACAGGCCATCAAAGATGAACCAAAAATACCGGAGGTAATTATTTTCTTTTTATACCATTTGTCAGAAGATGATATTTAACTTTTCCTAATTTAAGCTCCATCTTATTTTCAGGTGCACATGGCATAACTCATTCTATACACGCTCTACATCTTTAGTTTTGCACAAAGAGTGCATAAATATACCTGGATTAAGATAAATCTATTTGTTTAGAAATTTTAATGGCTTCTTAGTTCATTCCATAATTGGTCAACATCTTTTAGCGTTGCACAAAAAGTACACATATGTACCTAGAGTATTAGTTATTTTCTATAAAGTATGAAAATTCAGAAAATTAAGTGAACTACTGTACTTTTTAAAAGTGCCAAAATGTAGGTCACTAATTTTTTTCCTTTTTACATATCTAAAATATTCATAACCCTCAAGTAATATTTAAGATATGTATATCCACTCCTTGTGCAAATCTTAACAACGCATAACATGGCAAAATGTCACAAAACTAGTGGTTGGAAGACTGACTCGTGTACTCGAGTTTTACTCGCATTTGTCCTAAAAATCAATTGATCGAGTTGAAAACTTGAACTCACGATTTGAAATTCCAACAGCCGGGAATTTTAAAATGCCATTAGTTTGTTTTCACTATTTATCAGGTAAGTTTTGCTATCTATAGGGGACTAGAGGTGAACTTTAACGATCTATAGGGATGTGCAATACGATTTAGACAATAAAAAGTATAGAGGCACTTGAAAGACTTGATCAAATTGATGAATTCTGCCGCTACTTGGGAAACTGAAACCGTAAGTAACTCAACTAAGTCAAATCG